TGAAGTTGTTTTAACGGCTTGTTACGTGTTAAATCGTGTTCCCATGAAAGGGAAAGATGTAACCCCATATGAGCTATGGTATAAAAGGAAACCAAACTTGAGTCATCTCAAAGTTTGGGGTTGTAGGGCAATTGTAAAAGTGTCGGAGCCTAAACGTAAAAAATAAGGTGAAAGAGGAGTTGAATGCATTTTTATAGGATATGCGGATCATAGCAAATCCTATAGGTTCTATGTAATAGAACAAAATGACTTTTGGTCGGTTCACACCACCATTGAGTCATGGGATGCATTGTTTGATGAAAATCGATTTTCTTCAATTCCTAGGCCAAAGGACATAACTCCAAGTGCCAATGCTCAAAGTATTGATCAAATTGTCATTGATCAAGAGGTGGATGACCAAACTCATTTAGAGGAGGCATCTACATCATCATCACAACCTAGGAGAAGTAAGAGGGCAAGGAAAGAAAAATCTTTTGGCCCGGACTTTCATGTGTACTTAGTTGAAGGATCAAGGGAATCTGTTTCAACACAATTTCCATACATTTTTAATGTGGAAGATGATCCTTTGACCTATGATGAGGCTATGAGGTCTCGTGATGCTCCATTTTGGAAGGAAGCTATAAATGATGAGATGGAATCCATCATGGGAAACAATACTTGGGTTTTAGCTCCTTTACCACCAAAATGTAAACCAATTGGGTGCAAATGGATCTTCAAAAGGAAATTGAGGATTGATGGAACGGTTGAAAAGTTCAAAGCCCGGTTAGTGGCACAAGGTTTTACACAAAAACCTGGTATCGATTATTTCGATACATATGCACCTGTTGCTAGAATCTCAACTATAAGATTGTTGATAGCACTTACGGCTATCCACAATCTTGTGATCCATCAAATGGATGTCAAGACAGCATTCTTGAATGGAGATCTAGAGGAATACGTTTACATGCGACAACCGGAAGGGTTTGTTGTGGAAGGTCAGGAAGAAAAGGTTTGCAAGTTGATTAAGTCTTTGTATGGGCTAAAGCAAGCACCTAAGCAATGGCATCGAAAATTTGATGAGGTTGTGTTGTCTAATGGTTTTAAGTTGAACAATTCAGACAAGTGTATTTATAACAAATTTGATGACAATGGTCAAGGTGTCATAATTTGTCTATATGTAGATGACATGTTGATCTTTGGAACTGATTTGTCACAAGTTGAAAAGACAAAGTCATTCCTTAGTTCAAAGTTTTCAATGAAAGACATGGGGGAAGCGGATGTCATCTTGGGCATAAGGATAAAGAGAGAAAAAGGAAAGTTGATCTTGTCACAATCTCATTACATTGAGAAAGTGCTCAAGAAATTCAATGTGAGTGAATACACTACATCTCTTTATTCAACACCTATGGATCCTAGCATAAAGTTGATACCTAATGAAGGTTATGCGATTTCACAACTTGAATATGCTAAAGTAATAGGTTGTTTGATGTATGCCATGACAAGTACTAGACCTGATATTGCTTATGCAGTTGGTCAACTGAGCAGGTTCACTAGCAAGCCTAGTATGCTACATTGGCAAGAGGTTCGACGCTTGTTGAAGTACTTGAAGAAAACCAAGGAATTTGGTTTGTCTTATAGTGGATATCCTTCGGTTGTAGAAGGGTATTCGGATGCAAGTTGGATCTCTAACAAAGATCATTCCTCCACAAGTGGATGGGTTTTTCGATATGGGGGAGGTGCCATTTCATGGGCTTCAAAGAAACAAACTTGCATCGCGGACTCCACAATGACATCGGAGTTCATTGCTTTGCATTCGGCTGGTAAAGAAGCCGAATGGTTGAAGGATCTCATGTTTGAGATACCTTTATTGCCAAAACCGATATCACCAATAGTGATACATTGTGATAACAATGCTACCTTGGCAAGGGCTTATAGTCAAGTTTATAATGGTAAGTCAAGGCACATTGGAGTACGACATAGTTACATCCAAGGACTTATCAAGGATAGTGTGATCACTATTGATTATGTTCGAACGGATCTAAATCTCGCCGACTGTTTTACAAAGGCATTGGCTAGAGATGTTAACAGTAGGATGGCAATCGGTTTAGGATTGGAACCCTAAATAATCACAATTAGGAGAATCTCAACTTAACGCCCAATAAGACGTTGGGTCTTAAGTTCAATGAGATTAATTCTCTTAATTGTTGATTGGGAACTTGTTTATTCATCCAAGGTAAAGTTCCGGTTTTTCTGTGATGGAAAGTGGTTGTTTTTAAACTTAATAGAATTCCTGATAAAAGTGCTTTGGTCACAGGAGCATGTTGGAACTCTACCTATATAAGTACGAGGTTTAGCCGCTTCAAAAGCTATTAGGGGTGTAGCTTTGATGTACTTATGAATAGATATGGACACATGGCTTATTGTGTCAAGCTAATATGTATTTAAGTAATTAATCTTGTGTGTGTAATATCTTCAAGTTTCCAAATGTGTTGTTTTTGGTTCAAACGTTTTACGATACCAAATCGATACGGATTCTTGAATTGTATATTGCACTAAGTGGGAGTTCAAGTCTATGTACGCTTTCATTTATGCATGAGATTGTTTTGTGATGATGATGTTAATTTGCAACAAGTCTAGTTTAATTCTCAAAATGGGGGAGGATTGTTGATGAGTCTATTTTATATATATTTTTATTCCCCGTCCCACGGTCATATTTGTGCTTATTTTAGCTCTGTGGAGCTATTTATACGTTTTCTAGTGTTTTTGTAGATTTGGTATTATTTTGCAGGAATTTGCAGATTTATGATAATTCCTAAGCTTATTAAGCCACTATGAAGACATTAGAGTCGTATCGTATTTTATAACCGTATATTTGAAGCTTAAAGTCGAGCTAACTAATTTGATTCGAGGATTTAAGGCTTGGTTCGTCAGAGTTCTAATTTTATTACAAGTCCAATACCGGATATCAAGACAAAGGATATTGGGTCAATTCGTATGAAGCCCAATTTATAACCCAAGAAGCATACTTGTTGCTGCCAACTCAGGCGAAATTGACGGGCCCGATCGGATTGACTAAGGGCCCCATCGGGCGAGTGTTTGTTGCATTAAGTCGGTTTGGCGGTTTGCTATATAAACCGAAGTTCGAAACAACCAGGGGTAGTTTTTTAGATTTTTTTTCTTTGTTTTCTTTTACGGAGATTTTAGGATAGTTTTAGGAGAAAAACTTGTAATTGTTTTCTTGAGTATTAGTTGACTTTAGGATTAGTTCACACAGCTTTCTTTTCTTTTTCTTTCTTATTTTTAAGCTTTGATTATTAGCTCTGAAGTTTTGTGCTGGGAATTAAGATTATTACGTTCTTATTAGTTATTACGTTCCTTCAAGTTGCTCATTGAATGTTTTTATTTAAGCTTAATTATTATTGCTTTTGTTTCATTCATACTAGTTTTATTATTATTGTTTTGAGTATGTTTGTTTTAATTGCCTTTATTAGTTTAGTTTCTATCATGTGTGAGTAGTTTTATTCTAGGGTTTATGGGGATCCATAAATAATATGAAGGGGTAATTTATTGTTGTTAATTGTTAATGCTAGATTAATTTCCTATTGATTGATTTAATGCTCTGTGACTATTAGACCTTATCTTTTATGCATGAGTTTGACAATATTGATTCGAGATTCGACAGATGAGAATTGATGTTTAGGTCTAGTTTCAATAGGCAGGTTAATTTATAAATGGTTAGGTCGAGATTCGAAAGATGAGATTTAATACCGGTAAATTAATTGTGTGATTATAATACGTAGCGAAAGCCCTTTATAATCTGATTAGTATATGCATTGATGAATGATTATTATATTCTACCCTGGAATATTATTATTGGTGAACCTATGCCCTGGATCCTTTTTTATATTATTTTCTCCTTATTCTTGATCTCCGTAATTTAGTTTATCATTCAAATATAAATATTGGTTACCTCATAATCTAGATTATAATAGTTAATTAGGAATAGAAAGATTTATTTCTCTGTGGATTCGACCCTACTTCCCTATCTACATTAGTTAGAGGATTTAGGAATTACTTTTGATTTGGGGATACGACTTTACCCTGTCAATTGTTGAATAATTTTGAGAATTGGAGACAAATTTCAAGTAAATAATTAAATTACTTAGGCTATGGGTTCTAATTTAATTAGTAAAGATTATTAAAGCAATTATATTGAAAGAATATCAAGAGCTCACGAAAAAGAGTAAGTAAATCTGCAGCCCTGTTGTTCGCCCGGCCAGCCGCCTGATCGTGGTGGTGCTCGCCCGATCGGGCGCGAGGGTGAACTGGAAAACGTCTTCTTCGCCGCCCAATCGGGCGCGAGAAGGGAACAAAAACTGACGGAAATAATTTCTGCAATTTGGGGCAGCCGCCCGATCGGGCGCGAGAAGACACTTGAAGTTGACGATGAATTTCGCCCGATCGGGCAGCAGCGGGCCCGATCGGGCGCGTGTCTGAGAGGAGGTTGAGACTGACGGTTTCGTCAGTTTTGCAACAATTTTAGTCAGTTATTTTTGTGACTCTTGGCTGATGTTTTGCTTTAATATATATATATATATATATATATATATATATATATATATATATATATGTTTTGAAACATATGTTGAGAGATAGGATTGAGAAAAATAATCAGTTTTTATTTTTCTTGTAAACCTTTTGCAATTTTCATTTATCATCATCATAATTACACAAGCTTTATACATTGAATTGTAATCATCCTACTTGTGATTGCAATTGTTTCTTCGTTGTATCTCCTAAGTAAATTTCCGTGAAACCCGGTTGTAGTATAGGGTCGGAATTATACTTTTGGGAAAGTGATTTCGTTCACGCCTCGAAGTTTTTCCGTTCTAATTGTTTGCTATTTTTGTGACCCTTGTTCATACACAAATTCCCCAACAGTTTGGAGTTCTACTAAACTAGCACCTTTTTCAAGTCAATCAACCCAACTACACAAATCAAAGTTTGAGTAGAAAGGATATGTAAGAAAACTGGCCCTTCTAACTCTCAAGCATATGTGGATGGTGGGTCTCGAATTAGTGACTTTAACCTTGTTTGGTAAGAACTTTTTAGAAAGATATTAGCTTATTGAGGTCTATTAGAGATTTAAACATTCTAAAAAAGTTCAAGTGTTTGATAAACAACTTATTAAAAGATCATTTTAAACTCAAATAATTTTTTTTAAAAAAAAACAAAAGTCATAGTAATTGCTTTTGAATATTTAGCTTTATTAATAACAGTTAACAATTAAAGTCTATCCGTCAAACCCTTTTATACAACCAGCTAATACAACTAATTATATGAATTAGCTACAAACTAATTACCAAACAGGGTCCATGTGAGCTCTTGAATTCCAATGATATAAAGTAGTACATTCCCACGTACCACTAAAGTATTATACAAGTCTCCCCCCCCCCCCAAAAAAAAAAAAAAAAAAAAAAAAAAACCATCACTAATAAATAAATATGGGAGTACCATAAATACTGTTTTCTCTCATTCACATTCTCTTTATTTGTATCCTATAGTTTCCTCCATTCCTAAAGTGAAAAATAACTCATTGAATTAGCGTCAAATAACTTGTATAACATGGAAGCTTCAAATGGAATTACCAATCATAATGAAGGTATGTATGTATAAAGTAGTTCATTTACAATAATTTTCACTAATAATTATACTCAATTAATGCATTTTTATTTGGGTTTTTTGAATAATTAAATTTGTTATTATGTGATTATGTAGTTGAAGGAACAGGAGAAAATGTGCTTATGAAACATGCTGCTTTCTTTGATAGAAATCATGATGGTTTTGTTTATCCTTGGGAAACCTTCAATGGTTAGATTATAAACCAAGTATCTCCTTAAACTTTTTGATTAATTTTTGTTATTACATTTTAAGGAATTTTGGTTTAATGATGATATGGGGTATACATACTGTTGTAGGAATGCGTGCCATTGGATGCGGGTTGTTTATATCCACCGCTGCCGCCATCGTCGTAAACATGAGCCTCAGCCAGAAAACTCGCCCGGTATCTCTCTCATAACTCTAGTCAACTATGGAGTATAGATCTTACACCGCAATACCACGTGTTATCGCTTATTAATCACATTTTCGTAATTTTGTGACTTTTCAAATTAGTTATAGTGTATTATATGTATTATGTAGTATTTCTAATTTCCTTTACTTGTAGAGTCTATTTCTATTACTACTTCTTTTTTTTTTTTTTTTTTTTTTTTTTTTTTTTTTTTTTTTTTTTAAAAAAAAAAACCAAAATCTATTATTATTTCATACAAGGTGGTTTCGATGTATAATTAATCAAATTTTACCCATCTTGTTATCAATAGGGGTATATGATGAATTTTTATAACAACTCATTGGTATATGACGAATTTGAAAAATTTAATGAGTATTTATTTTAATAAATAAACAAAATACTCAGGGTACATGGTGAAAAAACCGTTTAATGTTATCCGTTACACATTATTTGCAACGATTTGACATCAAGTAGAGAGGGAAAATGTCTAATCATTGTAAATAATATGTAACGTATGTAGTATTTCAAAAAAATTAAAAAAAAAAATTTTATTTTGAAAATCTATAAGACTCACTTTAATACAAAGTATTCAGTGTATATATTTGCTCAACTTTGATGAGAATGGTCCTATTATGTTTAGCCTTGGTTTCTTTACCGATATATATGCGGCCACCACTAGCTAATATTTTCATTTGTGTAATATTCCAACAATATGAAATTACACATTTTAAAGCATATTTCATATGTTAAATATTTATAACAGTATAAGTGCAAAAATAATAAAAAGTTAATATTGTAAAAATATTTTATAAGACGAATCTAATAAGATCATACATGATTATATTTACTTAATGTATAAATCAAATTAAACAAGAGTGTTGAATAGTGCAATAGTCCATTGTTGCAATATTATTGAAACGGAGGAAGTCAAGTATAATATTAGATCAATCAATATTGATTAATCGATGTGTAATTAACACATGCAAATAATTTAGTGATTTGTTTGAGTAGAAATGTCGGTACACCATACATGAAAGCGCCAAAGCGTGTTGTGACTTGTGAGTTGTATCATGCATGATTTGTTTCAAAGTATTTTGTAGCATACCAATCATCCTTTAATTTAGAGTCTGTTTACATTTAGTTAATTTCAATTTAGTTTAATTTAGCTCCAATCAGTTTAGTTTAGTTCAATTCAGTTCAGTTCAATTCAGCTCAGTTCAGTAAATGTGAATATACCCTTAATGTTCAAATATATATTTCAATTCTATCCTCTATTCGTTATGTAATTATAAGTACATTTCATCAAAAATATACAATGATAAGTATAATTTCGAAAATTAATTTAGACGGTTTAATCTCTATGTAATTGTTGGCTTGTATCAGGGGAAATTTCCTTCTTTGCTTTTTCCTATAGAGGTAAAGAATATAGCCAAAGCCAAACATGGGAGTGATACTGGTGTATATGATACACAAGGAAGGTATGCCTAAAAAAATCAACTTTTCTTGGCTGTTTTGTTGCATCATTATTTTTTAAGTTAGATAGTTGACAATAATATTACGTAGTAATTGAGATGGTAACGAGGAGACTGCCTACTTGCCTAGAGGTGACTCCATATTAAAATCAATTGTTGATAATTTTTCAATCAGGAAAAACTCCCCCTCGCTCTACTCCTCTAGGTTATAACGTGATATTTTTTTTTCGTCTTTCTTCAATATGGGGCAACTTATATGTAGACAATAATACGGAGTATTGAGTTTTGACATGTATTAAGACCAAAATAGAAAATAGCTCCATTTCTCACAATAAATAAGTTTGTGTTGATCTTTTTTGTGTTTTATTCAAAGGTTTGTAGAATCGAAGTTTGAAGATATATTTAAAACGCATGCAAGGGAAAATTCAAGTGCTCTCACTTCTAAAGAACTTAGTGAAATGCTGAAGGCAAACAGAGAATCAAAGAACATTGGAGGATGGTTAGCAACATTTCTTAAACTTCTCTGCTCTTAAATTTTGTATAGAATTGAAATCATATTATGTTCGTTCTTTATTGTTCTATTCATTTTTTATTTTCATGGGCTCGTTATATTATATTCTTCTTTATTGTTATATATTATATAAATTTTCTCTTTTGAACTAGTATCTTGGAGTCTTGATGTGGCCAATTAATAATTATATTCCACGTGTGATTGTGAATGGTCTACTAGTACGTCCTTCCTCTTTTCCTTGGTCTTAGATAAATGGGTAGAACAAAATAAAAAAATTTGTACGAATACACCTGATATATTTTATCATTTTATGGTTCGGATTAGAATAAAAGTAATTCCGTGTTTTAAATTTTTGAAGGTTTGGGGCCTTTGTAGAATGGAAGATTTTGTTTTCGCTATGCAAGGACAAGGATGGGTTGATGCAAAAAGATAAAGTTAGAGGAGTATATGATGGAAGCATATTTGAGAAGTTGGAGATGGATAGACAATCATCTTCTAAGAAACATAAACAAGGGTAAAACTTCAAGAAATCATTTGTGTGATTCAATATACAAGTATATATTAAAAAAAAAATGTAAAGAGCTTTCAATAATTAGTTTATGAGGAGGCCCAGGTTAATAACTGTGCGAAACTTGAGATGTTTATAACAGGGCATTTTCGTACAATCAACTTCAAAAGTAAGGGTTAAAAAGTCTAATGCAAAATTGATACTTAACTGTTGTTATGTTTGCCGTTACCTTGCTTTGCTTAATCATGATTACTTGCTGTCACACCTACCCAAACACATCACGTGTCTTCTTCTTCTTCTTCAACTTTCCATTGAATTTCTCTCTCCTCCCTCACAATAAGTACCCACCATTGCACCATGAAACACGAGCAAGTAAAGCACAACCAGCACCTCCTTTGAAAAGGGAAGGAAGGCCAGAAGCAAGTAGTCCGTCATTAAAATTCCAAGCTAAAGGTGCATATCCACAACTAACATACACCAACCTTAACCCATCTTTTCCGGCGGCCATTTAACGAAAACCCTAAGAATACAGGAGAAATTAAGGGTATGGTTAACCCTAAAGGATAGGCGTTTTTCGTTTTCTTGTGCTTTCCCTCCTCCATTGAAGTTGCTAGATTGAGAAATTGAAATTCTATGATCAACGACTAATACTAAATTTAGTGTACTTTATTATTGTTTAATGGCTACGCAAAGATTCCAATGCAATTTTATTACAAAAATGCCATGTTATAAACTTGGTTTGTTTCGCACAGTTATAAACTTGTATTTCCTCTTAGTTTATTCTGATTTTTTTTTTTCTTTTTCTTCTCTTCTCTAGTGTTCACGGAGGAGATAAATAAGTTAGCAATGCAGTTTGATCTTCAAGTGGTGGACACCAATTCATAGTTGTTATGTATCTAATAGTTGGTTTTGAATTTATACAATGCTCCTTTTAATAATTATGTGACGCTTGTAATTTTATGTACTCGTACATTATTACAAGGATTTATGATGTCACGTCTTCATTATATTTGTATGGGCAAGGGACGGACATATAAGACCAAGTTATTCTTAAATCGATCTTATTATACAGTATTTAGCATGATAGAAATTTCAGCTTCTGACTTTTAAGCAGCCCAACTATCCATGGCCCATAATCCCCAGCCCATGATTTAAATTATAACATATATACTATCTCTTGTTCAATTTACTCACAACAAAGGAATATTTTATGTCTCACAAATAATATCCCTTTGTTGCGAGTAAATTGGAGACCGGAGGTAGTATATGCATTCTAAATTATCATAAATACACACTGCATGCATGGCATTAAGAAAACTTCCTAGGGTCTCATAGTTAGATACTAACAAATACGGAGTATATAACAATGATAATTTTGTAAATAATGACATCTTGAGAGTATTACTGAGAGGTAATATAGTACTATTGGACATTTTCAGTAGAACTACATATGATTTTAGTAATACAAATGACACTATGAGTAGTACAAATAGACCTTTTAGTAGTACAAAAGGTTGTTATTTAATTTTGCTTGTGTCTAACGATGACGTATAAGGACTTTCTCTTCTCATTACGCCCTCTATTTCTTTTACCTTCTTACTACATCCATGGTTATTGACTTGAGCTTGGAGGCTCTGTCTAAGGGACCCTCTCAGCCTCTCATCAAGGCTTGGAGATCACTTTGCAGGTTACCTGACGACTTGACGAGGGGGCGACCTAACATCATCATGACATAGAAACAATAACTGATTTCGACCATCAAAAAAAGAAAAAATATATATAAAAGGGAACTTCATGACCATTTTTTTTTTAACATTCTCATGTTCTTTTTAATTTAAAAGAAGTTAAAAATGTATGTAAAGCCGTAAAGGAAGTAAAGAATCCACATATTAAGAATTGTTAGATAATATGCTTATATTATCTCGTAAATATTCTGTAAAATATATCTTGTGTATTTTAGGTTATTCTCATGATTAGGTTGTAAACCCTATATATATTGATTTAATGAGAAAGCCTCCTCCAAGGAGAATTACACTATTCTACATGGTATCAGATTCCTCTTAGGGTTTTTCTTTCTTTCCTTTCTCTAAACCCTTATTCGATCTCTTGGACCTCCATAGCCGTGCCTCTTCACCTACCCGTACATTCTGCCCCTCATGGTCGGTGACGATCTTACCCCTCCTCCACCTCCCAAAAACACCCCCTCCACCCGGCGTTCGTCGTCAACAACATCAAAGCACTCATGCCCGTGACCCTTGATCACGCGGACGCTCAATATGCTACGTGGGTTGAGATTTTCCAAATCCATGCTTGTGCCTACAATGATACTGATCATATTGATGCAAATGTTAAGCGTCCAACGGATGTTGATGATGCAACGTGGAAGAGATTGGATGCAATTGTTAAACAATGGATATATAGCACTATTTCCAAAGACCTTGTTAACACTATCATGAAATCGGGTGCTACGGCTCAAGAATTATGGACCCAACTCGAAGAATCGTTTCATGATAATAAGCATACTAGGGCAGTGTATTTGGAGGAACAACTTTCCACCACAAAACTTGAACAATTTGCTAACATGTCGGATTATTGTCAGCAAATCAAAGTTCTTGCGGATCAACTTGCTAACGTTGATTGTCCGGTCTCCGATCGAAAGATGGTTATGCAACTTATTTCGGGTCTCACCAAAGGCGAATACGACACCGTGGAAGCCATCATCTCCCAAACTGAACCCACATCAAGCTTCAACAAAGCACGCTCCATGTTTCTCCTCGAAGAAACTCGGCAAAAGAAACAAGAAGAATCGGGCCAACAAGCTTTGGTGGCCCAATCCAGTCAAGCCCAGTCCAATACTATCGGGTCACAACCTAGTTCCCAGCAACCGGCGGCCGATCAGCGTGGTGGTGGTACAAGCCGTGGAAGGGGGCGTGGTCGTGGAACCAATAACAAGCCTAAAGGCCGTGGAAAGGGTCGGGGGAATAATAACAATACCCAACAACAACAACAATCTGGCCCACAGTGGTAGGCCCAACAACAACAAGCACCCCAATGGGGTGGGCAATTTGTTTGGCAGCAGCTTCCAAACGGGCAGTGGGCTTCACCACCCTGCCCGTTTCCTACCAGTCCGGCCTAGCAGCAGCAATACCGCGGGTCCAGTCCCTCTATATTGGGCCTGCGGCCTCCTCAGCAACAAGCTTATTATGCTCAGCCCAGTTATGGTCAACTAATGACTCCCACGAAATTGGGCCAAGCCTACAGCTCCATGAGTCTTTAGCCCGCTGAGAATGGATGGTACATGGATACGGGGGCCTCTTCTCACATGACTCGTGATTCGGGTAAACTTTCTAATTTGTTTAATTTTAGCATTCCTCAATTTATTTTAGTTGGTGATGGCAAACGCATTCCGGTTAATGGTTATGGCAATTCCACTACCCCTACACCTAATCCACCTTTCAATCTCAAGAATGTCCTTTTTGTCCCTAACATAATTAAAAATTTAATTTCTGTTAGAAAATTCACTTATGGCAATTCTGTGTCTGTTGAGTTTGACCCTCTTGGTTTTTCTTTGAAGGACCTTCTTTCGGGGACAATTCTAGCGAGGTGCAATAGTGTGGGGGACCTATATCCTTTCTCATCAGTTTCCGCATCAAATGACAATAGGCATCTATCTCTAGCTGCAATCTCTCCTTCAACCTGGCATCATAGACTTGGACACCCCGACGATCCTGTTTTTGATTTTCTTAGGAAAAACAATTTTATTCGTTGTAATAAGAGAAATAGTTCTCAATTTTGCTATTCTTGTCTTTTAGGAAAACATGTACGGCTTCCTTTTAAGCCCTCTACTTCTATTATTTTTTCCCCTTTTGATATTATTCATATGGATTTATGGACATCTCCTATTTCTAGCAAATTGGGTCAAAAATTTTATTCAGTCTTACTTGATGATTTCTCTCATTTTCTTTGGGTGTTTCCTATTAAATATAAGTCCCAAGTCTATGATATATTAATTAATTTCCGAGCATATATTCGAACTCAATTCGAAAGGGACATTAAAACTTTTCAAAGTGACAATGGTCATGAAATTGATAATTCACCTTTTCGAAAATTTTGTGTGAATAATGACATAGTTTTTCGATTCTCTTGCTCAAATACCTCTTCTCAAAATGGCAAAGCCGAAAGAATCATTCCCACAATTAATAATATGTCTCATACTCTTCTTTTTCATGCCTCTCTCCCACCGTCTTTTTGGGTTTATTCCGTGTCTATGGTTGTCTACATACTTAATATTCTCCCTTCCACAACCATACAAAATAAAACCCCCACTGTAGACACCTAAAAATGTCTCCCCAAAACCAAACTCGATGATAAATAACCTTTCACCGCCTCTATTGGTCGGGTTTAGTATTTAATCCCGAGAGTGCTTAAAAAATCGTATTTTATTAAATTCATACCTTTGAAAGGTCCATGGATTAGTCTTGATGTTTGGTAAAAGCATAGTTTTAATTAATTTTAAGCCCAAACCTTTTTATTCTATTATTTATTTTTGGCCCAAATATTTTATTTCATTATTTTCTTATTTTAGCCTGAATAATAAAAGTCAGGAAAAAGCCCGAAATTATCAATCGGCACTTAAAAAGCCGAAAGAAATTAGGGTTAAAAATGAATTTAGACGGAAAAATGGACTGGAACTGACCGTGTCACGGGAACCATTCCCGTCTGACGGTGGGACTTCCCGTGACACGGGAGGTCTGTCGTGACACGGGAAGTTCCGTGTCCTTTCCGCGTAAACCCTTAACGCGTTTTCCGTTCCGTTTTTTGAAAATTTCCCGCGTCACTCCAAAACTGTACCGTGTCACGGGAATGTGTACCGTCTGACGGTACTGTCTAACCGTGTCACGGTACAGTCTGACCGTGTCACGGGATACTTTTTTAGGGTTTTTATCATTTTAGGGTTCCGTGTGCTCCCTCAGCACATTTCCCTATAAATACCCCCTCATTTCTGATGTACGGGGCAACCAGAATTTTATTATTCTTATTTTCTCTCCTCTATGCTATTAGTCTAAACACTAGCCTACCCTTTTCACTTCAAAATTCCTTCTTCAAGCACTCAAAGGAGTCCATATTTTACTCGAGGTTCTGTCCTTAAGCCAAGGCGTGAAAGGTAGAATCGTTTGAGGGTTTGGCCCCAAAATCAACTTTAGCTTTATTTAATTTAATTTAATTATTGTTTTATTATTTCCTTGAAGTTACTAACTCGTTTATTATTTTGTAGTTGCAAGCAAACAGATTCAAAGTAAGGATCATGCTCTTTTATTGTTATTATTATTTTTCTAACAATTTTATGTTGTTGGGATTGTGATTAAATTGGTATTAATGTTGATTCTATTATTGTTTTTATTATGATCACCATATTGCATGTTTAAAGGGAATATGTAATTGAAAATCACGACTAATAAGATAATTTGGACGACCGGTTTAGGATCCTTTTTAATCTTATTATAAATTGAAGTGATCACCAAATTTTAGAATTATGTGTGCATTAATCTTAAACCAATTTAGCTAAATAATAGTTTGGAGCAAATTGAATTATTGTTTGTATGCCTTTGAGATCACAGGAATGCTTTTCAATATAAGAATCGAGTAGAGGCCAATACGGGCGAATGTGACTCCATGACTCACTTCGTACCATCATCCCCGATCCTCCTTTCGTGGTTCCGAACCATATGGAGTTAGTAATCTCATGGATTATGAATCGGGTGTAACCTTCACGGGTCAATCGTTGTTGCCTTCGTTGTCCCTTATTCTTGGTTGCCTTTTATGATCCGTGAACGGTTTACAAGTTCCTTAAAAACTTGTTGGCGGCTCCCTACTTTATTTGTCCCTAATTGTAATGTCAATTCCCATTTCCTATGAGTGCCAAGCATATTCACAACATGCTTTTTAACGTAGGCGCACTTCGAGCGACGCCTACACCCACCGAGGTTCTTTATCGTAGGTGCCCCACTTATGATCATCTTCGCACTTTTGGTTGTCTTTGCTACCCTAATCTTAGTGCTACGGCTCTTAATAAGCTCGCCCCTCGGTCCACCCCATGTGTCTTCTTGGGGTTCCCTTCCAATCATCGTGGTTATTTGTGCTATGATTTATCTTCCAATAAAATAATCATTTTCCGTCATGTGACATTTGTTGAAGATCATTTCCCTTTCTCTAACATTCAACAATTTAAACCAAGTGATTATGAGTTTTTGGATTATAGTGACAATTCCAATTTGTTGCTAAAACATTACTGCCAAATGCCACAAACCACAAACTCCACTCAAACACAAGGCCCAAGTCCATATCTCACTAATCCCACAAACCCCATAATACCAAACGCTGCCGTGGACTTACTGTAATACCCCATATTTTTATACGTATTTTATTTAATGTATATACACTTTATACGTATTTTATTTAATATATATATTTTATAAGGGTATTTAAATAACTCTAGCATTTTAATTATGATGTTTTAATTATTTATCCCATGTAAATTTGGAATATTTTACAAAAGGAAAAGTCGTTTAATTAATTAATTAATAGAAGTTGGGGTTTTATTTTAGGAAATTATGATTTTTAACAAGTTTTAGTAGGGAATGGATTAGGAAAAACTAAAGGAGGAAAGTTAGGGTAAAAAGGGGAGATAGAGAAGGGGGGTATAAATATCCCTCTTATGGGGCAAATCAACTTTGCCCAGAGTGGAGAAGACCCAAGGTAAACTTCTCTCTCTTCTCCTTATTTTTCTTTCTTTTTCTTTTCCCCTTCCCCTTATTTTTTTTTTCGGCTGCCCCTTTTCCCCCACCACTGCCAGCCGCCGGCAGCTGGTAGCCGCCACTGCCAGCAGCGCATGTCGTCGGCAGCAGGTGGCCACCGCCGCTGCCAGCAGCCGGTGGCTGCCGTTTTTCTCCCCCCTCTTTTTACCTCTTTTTCGAGTATAATAATAATAATAATAAAAAAAAAACTTAGCTTTCTTATTTTAATTTAATCTATGCTTAGATCTAATTATAAATTATGTGTTTGGAGGTTTAATTTTGATGTTTGGTTATTGTAATTGTGGGAATTAATTTTCAGATTTGGTTTTTAATTAAAAAGCCCCAATTTTTGAAACCCTAGGTTCTTGTTTCATGATTAATTGAAAGATTATGATGTATAATAGGGTAGGCCTTTGTTTTAAGTGTTTTAAAACCAAATTACAGCAAGTTTTAAGTATAATAAAGTGCTGGAATTTTATGTAGAACACTTGATATTGGGTTTCTTGAAGAAATTTTAATTACCCATTAATTGGGACTTAATTTATGGTGTTTTAAATATAATTTCAGCTTATTCTAATTAATTTATGAAGGGTTTTAAAATAGTATATATTGCTGGAAATTTGTTTAGAGTGGATATTAATACTCTATTATGGATTTAATGTGTAGGAGACTTTGAAGTAAGCGATTTCTACTAGTTGTGGCAGTTTTAATAACGTACTCAAGGTACGTACGCGTACTTAGCATAATTTGGTGATGTAGAATCATGCTAGGTTTGTTTGTAATTGATTATAAGTAGAATCATGCTAAGGTTTATGTATGGAATTGTGAGTTTATGGTGTTTGTGATTGAATGGTAAAGCATGAATTATTTGTGATGGTTTATGGATTGGAAAATTGTATTTTTGGTATGTTGTGTTTGAACCACATTTTTATTTATGGCATGTTAGAAGGCATGATTAATTAAACTACATGTTTAATTAGGTTTGGATTATTGAAAAGGAATTTTATTATGGTTCAAATAATTTTTATTGATGCTTTAAGCATGAGGAAGGAGCTATATAAGTGTCTAGGTACACAAGGAATAAATTGTATGTTGGTGCCTTTGTGCACTTAAGGTGTTTTTAACACCGAGGGATTGGATTTTTGGCGCATTATGTGTTTAAGATGTCTTCGACACTGAGGTAGAATTAAAAAAGGTTCAACATTAAATAGTATGTGGTCACTAATTATTCAAGAATTAAATTGGTATGTTTGTTTGATTGAATAATTATTGTTGATTGATTTATTATGCTTTGAGAGTCATCACCAAGTCTAATAATATGTAAATAACGTAAAGTGAAAGAGATTACACACCAAAACTCTTGGAACGTATATACCTTGAGTATGAACAATGGGGGGGGTTATGGGGTTTTATATTTAACCATAACTTCCAATGGAGTACAGGACGCTGTATATTCCTTTTTATTATTTATTATGCGCAGGAATTCCGCCACCTTGTGTGGTTTTTCGCTGGCACGGTTAGCTCCCGTGCCAGTTAACCTCAAATTTATTTGGGGGAGGTTAATAGGTGGAAACCCGTTCGATGCGTAATCAATGCAAAATGAATTAATTAGGGTCTAGTCATTGTATTGTGTTGATTGGTATTTGTGGACAGGTGCAATGAGGTAGGTGTGTGTTGATAGGTGAAAGCATGTTTAGTGTGGCTATTTTACGCTTATGTACTCAACTTTGCTGATTGTGTGTGTTTGTGGTTTGGCCATGTCTTTACCTTGGCCCTATGATGACCCATTTTTAATGGAGAGTAGTGGAAGCAAGTAGAGATAAACTTTTCAGGTATTGAAGCATGATCATGATGGGGCATGAGTGAAGAGTGAATCCTATTAGTTTTCATTAGATTACAATGTGTCTTATGCTTTATTTATTTATGATATATTATGTGTGGACTAACATAAAGGTTTGATTTGGGAACGGTTTTTGAATAAGGGCCTTTGATGGTCCCAAGTTGTAATTTGAATTTATTTGACTTGTTCGTTTGGTTTTAAACTTTATTCTTGTTTGGTTGACTTTGGGTTGACTTGTTTAATCGGTTTTAAATTTTTAGTCTTCCGCTGTGTATCTTTGATAATTGCCTTAGCCGTTTTCACGGTGGCGGTAATGTCTTAGTTATTCCTAAATCGCATTTTTAAAAGAGTAGAATGAGTATTTAAAGAAAGGAATTTCTAGGGTGTTACACTTAAGTCCACTCCGCAAGTGGGTTGCGGCTCACCATCTCCAACCGCAGGCCCCTTGCGGAGCCCACTGTCCAGCCCCCATTTTTTCTCTCCTAGCCCACCTAACTCCCCTGTTTCACCATCAATCCATTTCGGCTCTCTTCCCTCCCCAACCCGGTCCAACAAACTCCACAAACTCAGCCCAATTCTCAACCTTCACACTCCATGGCCACTCGTGCTAAGTGTGGAATATTCAAGCCTAATCCAAAATATCAAGCTCATGTGACAATTCCCGACATTTCACCTTTGCCTAAAAATCCGAAAATTGCCATGCTTGATCATAATTGGAATGCCGCCATGAAACAGGAATTTAATGCTCTTACTAAACAGAACACTTGGGATCTTGTTCCAAGACCGGAAGGGGTGAATATTATTCGATGTATGTGGTTATTTAAGCACAAATACAGGGAAAATGGTGATTTGGAGAGACATAAAGCAAGACTTGTTGTGAATGGCAAGTCTCAACAGGTTGGTGTGGATTGTGATGAGACATTTAGTCCCGTGGTGAAACCGGCGACTATTCGTACTGTTTTGAGTATTGCTTTGGGTAGGGACTGGCCTATTCACCAATTGGATGTTAAAAATGCGTTTCTTCATGGTGACTTGAAAGAGACTGTATATATGCATCAACCCCCGGGATTTATAAATATTAAAGCTCCCACACATGTTTGCCGGCTTAACAGATCTCTCTATGGTCTTAAACAAGCCCCTCGGGCTTGGTATCAAAGATTTGCTAACTATCTTTTGCAGATTGGTTTTGTTTGCAGCAAAAGTGATAATTCCCTCTTTATTTTGCGATATGGTGCTAATGTTGCATATCTCTTGCTATATGTTGATGACATTGTTCTTACAGCTTCCTCCGAACAACTCAAGTGTGATATTATTGCTCTACTCAAGTCCGAATTCTCCATGACTGATCTGGGGAGTTGAGGTATTTTTTGGGGGTCTCTGTAACCAGAACAAAGGACTCCAGAGTAAGTATGCAGAGGATATTATTCACAGGAAAAAAATGGACAATTGCAAGCCGGTTGTCACTCCAATCGACACTAAGTCGAAACTTAGTGCTCATGATGGTGAGCCAATGAAGGATCCATCTCTTTACAGGAGCCTTGCAGGTGCTTTACAGTACCTTACTTTTACCAGACCTGATATTGCTTATGCTGTCCAGCAGATTTGTCTGTTTATGCATGCTCCCAGGGAACCTCATTTTAACGCTCTTAAGCGTATTATCAGATATATTAAAGGCACTTATGATCATGGCCTACATTTATATCGTTCTGCACCTACGAGACTTATTTCATACACAGATGCCGATTGGGCAGGCTGCCTGGACACTCGACGATCCACTTCAGGGTATTGTGTTTATTTATGTGATAATCCGGTCTCTTGGTCCGCAAAACGACAAGCTACATTGTCCAAATCAAGTGCCGAAGCAGAATATAGAGGTGTCGCTAATGTTGTTTCTAAATTATGTTGACTCCGGAATCTACTTCTTGAGTTACATTGCCCTATTCGACGGGCATCCTTGGTTTATTGTGATAATATCTCCGCCATTTACTTATCTTCTAATCTGGTACAACACCAACTTACCAAACACATTGAGATGGACATTCATTTTGTACGCGATAAAGTCGCTCTTGGTGAGATCAAGGTCTTACACGTTCCGTCTTCATCTCAATATGCAGATATTTTCACAAAGGGGTTACCTCGCCAACTATTTCTAGATTTCAGAGACAGTCTCAGCATTCGACCTCCTCCCGCTTCGACTGCGGGGGTGTGTTAGATAATATGCTTACATTAACTCGTAAATATTCTGTAAAATATATCTTGTGTATTTTAGGTTATTCTCATGATTAGGTTGTAAACCCTATATATATTGATTTAATGAGAAAGCCTCCTCCAAGGAGAATTACACTATTCTACAAGAATGACGTTTGTAACAAGAACATGATGTATTGATGTTCATGAACTCATGGTGCATGTGAGTCTATGATTCGAATCGAAATTGTATTACTCGTATATTATTGGATGTCTTAGTATCGCGCATCAAAGATTAATAAAGACGAATGCTATACCGTTTTAATAGCGTGTGTAAACATTTCATAAAGATGAATTTCATACTAAGGGCTTGTTCTGATACAATTATTTTCAGTTCATTTCAGTTCAGCTCTAATAAGTTCAGTTTAATTCAACTCAGTTCAGTCAATCATAACAGGCCCTAAATATATGTGTTAGTTTAATTTTTTATTGCATCGATCTTAAACTTTGATGTAGTTTACTCATTTGTATATACATGGAGCTATCCGTAATTTTTAGTTTGATTACACATGATATAAGGGATCATTTGAGGTGCTATTTTATAGTTTTGTAAAAAATCTAAATTGATAAACAATTTCGCTGAAAAATAGCTTAATAAGACTTTTCTATTCACATAATTGGATCTAAATTTTTCTGATCTAATTTGTTATGAAGTGATGTTCAAATTTTGACAAGCTCTTAATTTATTATATGAGATGTCATTATATTTGTTTAATATGCACTTTTTAGAAATATAAATTAATAATAATTTTTTAAATAACAAAAATAATGATATTTAACAATAATTAATAATTTTTTTTAAAAAAAAAAATAGGATTTGATCCACGTATCTAATTTTTTCTTAAATAAGTTGATATTAACTTGAATAAGTCGAGCTAAAGAATGTTAACACATGGTTATGATGGTGCTAAAGAATGTAAACATGATCGAAGACATTGTCATATCAAATTGTTAATGCCATTACATTGTCCTTGAACTTATTGTCCAAGGTATCCTTTATTTTAATTTTGTAAAATAGAAGCTCTATAAAAATATGAAATAATACAGAATTTTAATCAATACTCGTATTGCTTAAAGATGCCAACTGGAACGTTGACTAGCGACATTACTACGTGTTACGTGCATTGTCATTGCTCACTTATTCAGCATCTAAAATTGTTGTTGTGAGTTGTTTCCAAAAATATACTTTTTTTAATTGTAACGTATCCATCAAATAGTCACAGCAAATCTTGATTATGCTTCTTAAAATCAATTAATTATCAAATAGTTTTCCTGAAAGCGTAGTTTACTTCTACGATTAGCTCTTCGCAATTCCAATTTAGAATATATATTTTGTAGCCTGCTAACTTGGGAACAAAAATCTTTCCCAAAAAGGCGGTAGCTAGCTAGGTCATTTCTCCGATTGACTGTCCAATATGCATAATAGGTGTATCTGTTGAATTTCATTGTATCCCGCTTGTAAATGTCCCGTATTGAAAAAAAAAGAAGAGATGATTCCACTTTATAACGTAGAAGAGTTTTTCCTAATATTGCCAATTGATTTTAATATAGAATCTTCTTAGCCTCGTTTGTGGATTGAACTTTTCTCATTCTCGTCTGAGTTGCCCATTTCGTATTATCTCAAAATTTTAACATGGTACCAGAGCTTGTGGATCTCTTCTAAATTAAGTTGGTCATTGAATCAACCAAACTCTCCTTCTCCATATTCGGATTGCCTAATATTGTCGTAATCTTAAGATCCTAATGAGGAAATAATGAGATGGAAAAAATCTTAACATGTTAGAATGATTTTTTTTTTCCCATGTTTGATGCGACGTATAAGCAACTTTCTTATGTTAGCTAGGTAAGCGGATAATATTGTCGTCTCTAGATAATTCCTAATTGCATTATTGCACAAATCCATTTGACTTTTCTTTCCTTTTGGAGAAAAATTAAGTATTACTCGTATGAAGTATTGAAGACATGTAAATATGTTATCTAAATATTTCTATAATTTTGTAACTTTCTTGTACGAAGTATAATAGATAGTTGGATGCTAAAATTGCAAATGATAAGTCTTCCATATTTATAAACACGCTCTATATAGAAAATATATAAATAAAAGTTGCTATATATAATCGAACGTATCTTTTGGCAGCTGAAAATATGAAAAGTTACATCAATTATCCCTTGTGTGAGTATGTCATAGAGAGGCAAGAGAGGGCGCCACCAAAGGTAAACAATTTGAACAAAATTCAATTTCAAGTCTTGAGACCAACATAACTAATAGAATATACGTAGTATATACAAATCTATCTTGAACTTTAATTTAACCACCAACTTAAACCTTTTGGGTTTTCTATAATAATAACCAATTAAAATAGATAACATCCTCCATATATTAAGTTCTTTACGTGCACATAAAAATCTATGTTGAAATCTTCATTTGACAAGCAATTTGAAAGTTAAACTACTTTTTTTTTAATTCGAAATAATCTTACTAAATTGGACTTTTAGTTTATTATCAACATAGAGAAGTCGCAAGAACAAATATATATATATATATATATATATATATATATATATATATATATATATATATATATATATATATATATATATATATATATATTATTTAACAGTTTAGAGTATATGATTTTAAAATTAATGCACAAATTATTGCATCGATAGAAAGCTGGTTATTTAAGAAGCAACACCCCATCACAAATTCTCAACGCCATAAAAGTATTATTATTTCTTTCTCTCATTCACAAATTTTTCTTTCCCAAATTTTCCTCCATTTCAAACTGATTGAAGAAAGAACTCATTGAGTTTGATCACCATTTTACTTGTATAACATGGATGCTTCAAGTAGTATTACTAATCAAAATGAAGGTATGTACAATTAACTTTCAATAGAGATGCTACTTGTGTTATATATGCTCGTTCCAAATTATTCGTCCATTTTCTTAATTTAGGGTGTCCCAATTTGTTAAAAAGTAAAATAAAATAAAAGTGTCTCAATTTACTCGTTTCAATTTTTAATGTGAAAGTAAAATTTATTTCTTTACATATTTTCATGAGTTGGGTCCCACGATCATATACGGAATACTCAAGTTTTTCTCTATATATTTAAACTTGCATAAAATTATGTGTAAATGGTCATGGACGAGTAAATTGAGATGATAAATACTATTACAGTATTGTCTATATTTAATTAACGTATTATTATTGTGTTTTTATGAATGACTCCATATTAAATTTGCTATGTGGTCATGTAGTTGAAGGAACAGGAGAAAACGTGCTTGCTAAACATGCTGCTTTCTTCGATAGGAATCATGATGGTGTTATTTATCCATGGGAGACCTTCAAAGGTTATATCATAATTCATAAACCATATATTTCTCCTAAACTTTAATTAATTTTTCATATTTATATTTTAAGGGTTTTTGGTTCAATTGTAAACCAAATAATTCCTCTAAATATATTATTTGATTTTTTTTTTTTTTTTTAATCTCAAGAATTTTTGGTAAACTTATTGAGTGTGTACATGTTGTAGGATTGCGTGCCATTGGATGTGGGCTATTTATATCCATCGCCACAACCTTTGTCACCTTGACCATCAGTCCCAAAACTCGCCCGGTACCTCTTTGAATCTTTAAAATTTTTGTATAATTAGTCATATATCAATATTTACCATGATGTTATGATATAGGCTCTGTTTGTTTTGATGGAAAATATTTTTTTATAAAAATTAATTATTTAAAAAATAATTTTTATGGAATAGTGATTGTGCATGAAATGGGTTAACTTTGTTTGATTGATTATAAGATAACTTTTGGAATAAAAATATGGAAGTAAAAATGAAGGGAAGGATAGAGGAGAGAAAATAGATAAGTAAATAATGAGTAAAAAGAAATGTGACATACTTTTTTTACCAATGAAAAATGGTTTTTCTTTTTTAAAACTTCGTACATACATAGTAACTTTTACCAATAAGAAAATTGTTTTTTACCATTTAACAAAACAAACAAAGAAAATTCAAATGTTTGTTTGTTTTTTTTTTTTTTTTTTTTTTTTTTTTTTTTTTTTTTTTTGTTTTTATGAATCAGTATATTATTGAACAATGATTTTTGACAATTTATTTTCTATTTATTTTTGGCATGGGTACAGGGGAAATTCCCTTCTTTGCTTTTTCCAATTGAAATAAAGAACATAGCCAAGGGCAAACATGGGAGTGATACTGGTACTTATGACACACAAGGAAGGTATGTTTCATACTCTTATTGCATCATTTTTTTAATTTTAATTCGAAAATCGGAACCATCTATTACCCTTAAAAAAATCATCCCTTGTGGAGTAGTGCTAGTGTATTTGTGTATGCCAAGATACAACTTATTAATGAAACTTGTTTATAGTCAAAATTAGTTATTCTATAGATCTCGCCAATGTCTTGGGTTATTGCATAAATAACAACAGTCAGCTCATGCGTGAAAGACATTCATGTTTGAATTCCTTTATTATCAATAAACTTAAGTGAATATTTCTAAAATTGTCACTAAATGAGGGAGTGTCACTGTCACATGGCTGATGAACATACTACGACAAAAACTCAAAATATTTTAGAACTTATTGCCTTCCTATGGGGTGCATACACTGTAAAGTTTTGAAAAACAAGCATGTAACGCTTATTGAAACACTAGCTAGAAAATACATGTCCATCATCTATACCACAATATACAATATACTTTCTCCATCATCGTTTATTAAAACTATTGTGTGTGTTGACCATTTGCATAATAATTCATAGGTTTGTAGAATCGAAGTTTGAAGACATCTTTAGGAAGCATGCTCGCTCAAATACAAATGCTCTCACCTCTAAAGAACTTAGTGATATGCTCAAGGCAAACAGAGAACCTAAGGACTTAACAGGAAGGTTAGCATTGCTTCTTAACCACTGGCGGATCTACATTGGAACCCGGGGGGCACGTGCTATCCCCGGGAAAGAGAGGGAAAAAAAACTATATGAAAAAACCTTCCTCCTAAATACTTGATAACTAGTAAACAATGCATATATTACATGAATATTGAATTTGCTTCAGCGATACAAATCAGGTAATTAAAGTTTCCTTTGAGGTGCCCTAGAGTCAGCGGTTCGATTCTCTCCCCATGCACTTTGTTTTTTTTTTTTTCCTTTTTTTTCTTTAATTACAAAGTAAGTAATTAAAGCTTCCATATTTTCGCTCTCAATATTTTGCTCATTTTTTTCTCATTTTTATTTTTATTTTGACAACAAACACTTTCTTTTTGGTTTATTATAAATCTATATTTTTTAATTTTTTTTGAAAAAAAATCACTAACAATGCTTTTTTTTTTCCACCCCAAATAATTTTCCTCTTTCTTGACATTTAAATAGATAAGATAAAATTGATTTACAGGCTCCAGCAAATTTTGATTCTTTTCCAAATTACTTTTTACTTCCTTGACATTCATTTTAAAATACATTACATAAAAATAACTTCCATTAAGTTTTGTTCAACAATAATAATAGTATGAAATATATATAAATATATATAGATTATTTGTCCGTGAAGAAAATTAGTAATATCTGATAAATTGACTAATTTTATTTTATTGTAATATGAAATATATATTTTGATAGCTATTATGTTGTACATGCATAATTTTATCCGCAATAATAACTCATAGCAAAATGTATAGATAGTTGAATTTTAACTTGATGTGTTATCACCATCTTAATTATGCAAAATCACAATTATGCAAAAACTTTAAATTGATGTGTTATTACCATCATAATTAAATTTAGTTTGAGTTTCATGTTCATAGGTATATATTGGTTAATTCGTCCCTTTAATTTTTCTACTATGCGGGTTTAGTGCTACCCCTATTCCGAAATCCTGGATCCGCCACTGTTCTTAACTCTTCTAGTCTTCTTGTATGTTCTATCGAATTTTGATTTTTTTTTTCTTCTTATTATGTTACTATGCCACTTTCTTATTTCATTTCAAAGATAATTAATTTTTCTCTTTCACGCGACCTCTATGTTATCTTAGTTTTACTCTATCCTTAAAAAAAATAACAAAATACACGTTTTTTCCCGAATTTTTATACTTGTTGTAATTGAATAGAACAAAATAAATGTATGGAAGCACCCGATATACTTCGTATGTTTTATGTTTCATGTTTAGATTATAACTAGTTTAAGTCCTGTGCAATGGACGGTTTTTACTTAACCTAATTTTTAATTACAATATTAATTTAACAAAAACTTGAAATAGATACTTGAATTTCTTTAATAATAATAATAATAATAATAATAATAATAATAATAATAAAGAAAAAACAAAACTTGAGTTTAATATTATATCGATGTCAAAAGTTATTGATCATTAAACATTTTTTTTAAAAAACACAAATTTAATAATTATAGGATTTTACATAAGAATTAAATTATATGTTAATTATAACCTGTAGAATGTACTTTTTTTAGAGGAACACGTGTAATGTACATACCTCAACGTCCCAATTTTGTTGGCATATTTTGACCGGCACAATGTTTTATAGCTTACTTTGACCGATATAATGTTTTATACAAATTTAATTGACTATTTTTTTTTTGATAGTAATCAAGGTTTTTTATTTTTATTTTTTATTTTTATTTATTGAATTGTAGTGTTATTATCATAAATAAATCAACAAATATATACTTCGTAATAAAAGTTAAAGAGTCAATCCAGGTTGGAGCAACAAAAAAAAATAAAAAAATAAAAAATCCAAAGAAAAAAATATGATACAAAATGATATGGAGTAGTACATTATTATTGTAATATATTATATGTTTGTTTATTTTAGTAAAAAAATACCTATTATAAAATAATGAAAATTAGGTTAAAATATTATTAATTTATTATCATTGAATGCATATAGAATATACTTTGTATATAATATAGTTGCCAAATTGAAGGATAAATATTCTAATATATATAAATTAATATTCACGAAGATTTGTAAAAAGAAAGGAAAGTTAAAAATGGCGGGAAAAATTTTAATCAGAACATGACAAGTGTCATGTTAGATTCACCTTTAGTATTATGTTATTGATTGATCTTGCCTTTTATTTTTACAGGATTGGTGCCTTTGTAGAATGGAAAGTATTGTTTTCTCTATGCAAGGACAAGGATGGGTTGTTACAAAAAGATGTAGTAAGAGGAGTATATGATGGAAGCTTATTTGAGAAGTTGGAAATGGAGAGAAAATCTTCTAAATAAGATTCACAAACAAAGCTAGCTAGCTTAGTTGGACTATGTCATATACATAGTGTGATTAAACATATACTATGAATCATTTTTTAACTTATGTAAATCACTAAATCATCATTATTTTTACTTCTCTTTTCCAAGTAATTATGGAGGGGGTCAATTTGTTTGTTATTGTTGATCTTCATCATTGGGTTGCACCAATTTGATATTGTTTTGTATTTAACATGTGGGTTTGAATTTACTAGTTATACATTGTTGTTCATTCTAGCTTAGCGTGTAATTACTGTGTGATGTTTACTTTTAATTTGAACATATATTACATTATTACGTATGTATTGTAAGATCGAATGTTTGTGTGCATGGGGTTAAATTACTTCGTCAATGTAATGAAGGCTACTCGGTTAGTGGTACAACGGTTACTCGGTCAATGTTATAAGGGTTACTCGATTAGTATTGTAAGGGCTACTTGTCTGTATTAGATTGGTTACTTTGTTCTTTTGTAGGTGGCACATATGTGGTCAGCCGCACATAAAAATGAGCTAATTAAACAATATAATTACCAGTTCACCACGTAATGGGGGATGATTTCTTGACGTACAATGTAATTAAGGAAGACTTCAACGTGGTAGTGTTACTGTTCTGGATGTAATCCGACAACTCGTATCCAAGATCCGTGAAAATCCTATCGTCCAGCAAAGCACCTACACAAGAAATAAGGATTAGCTAACCCTGGGGTAAAGATGAGGATAACAACTCTGATGACAAAGTCCGAAAGTGTTTAAGAAGAAGAGAAGGTATTAATAGAGAGAGAGAGTAATAAATACCCTTTTAATAGAGGAACCATGTGACTGCATGCCATGCAAATCAAGGACGAAGCCACAGGGGGGGCCTAGTGGAGGCCCGGCCCACCGCGGCCTAACTTTGTGGGTTAGAATTTAACTCTTGGCCCCTACAAGATTTTGGATATAGACTAAACATTTCACAATTAAATAGTGGTATAGCGTTTGGCATAACGGTGCTTTGCCTTCATGTTTTAACTTTCAAACCCTGTGACACTAAGTTCGATCCTCATTATCATTAACTTTTCAATTTATTTTTTTAAAAACCTTGCTGAGATGCTGCTTGGTGGCAGGCTGTTAGGAATGGCAACGGATCGGATTCGGGTCGGATGGGGCTCCACCCGCATCCACCCGAATTAATCATCCGCTCCACCCGATCCACCCGTCACCCGCAAAACCCATCACCCGCATCCGATCCATCTGTCATCCGCGGATGAAACGGGTGGATCGGATGCTTAACGGGTGATAATTATAATCCTACTCAAACTATAAAATCTAATACGTTAGAATAAAAAAAACAAAAACTTTTAGCCAATTTTAAACTTAAAAGTAAACCATTAATTAAATTTTTATTCCAAACTATAGCAATAAAAATAATCATGAACTTACTTTTTTTTTTTAACAGAATCATGAACTTATTTCGGTACTACATAATTAGGAATTGAGGGAGGTTTTATATTTTTAAAAATAAAATTAAAGAATTTTTAGATTTTTTTTTAGAAATATATAGTACATACATAGTGTAGTATATACTAGTATATAAGAAAATTGGGAATTTTTTTTATATATATACGGATGGACTGCGGATCGGGTGATAAACGGATGACGGATCGGGTGACGGATGAAACGGAGCCCCACCCGAATCCGACCCGATCCGTAACCCGCTTCATCCGTCACCCGCCCTTCATCCATTTAATGCAGATTTTCGTCCATTTATTTATTTCGGGTGGATCGGATTTGCGGATATCCATTTAGAATTGTCATCCCTACAGGTTGTAAGCCTGTAAACTAGATTCTTTCTTATTTGACAAAGTAAAAAAAAGAGGCCCAAGTAAACTAGCAGATTAATTAATATATATTTTATAATTATACAACAATTCTAATCATTTTTTGACTGTTAAGGACTATTTGCTTACATTACATTAAATTTTACATTTACTAAACTTTGAGTGTGATCCTAAACTACTACTACATCTTGCCTTGAAAAAAAAATAATAAAAACAAACTATTAGTAAACAAATGTATAATTATCATCCCAATAAGTGCAAGAAAAAAAATAATACTCCGTAATATCTATTATAGACTATAATCAAGTTAACATACTAACCGGCCCCCATAACTTTATAATTCTGGCTTCGCCCCTAATGCAAATTACATATATACTAGGTGTTGGTCGCCTGACGCCACGTGTTGTTCTCAGGACGATCGTTGCCTATGTCGATATGGGGCAATACCGACATGGTCTTTATGACTCAAAATAGGAATCTGTATGTTCTATAAAAGCGGTTGATATCGGCATACGTTTACCCATTATCGGTATCTCCCCATACAATTACGTTTCAACCTCATACAAATATGATTAACCTAAGCTCGGGAAGGTGTTTGAGAATACTCACTTTGATACTTAAGCTAATACTTCGTATTTGAAAGGGAACAAAGATACTCTGTATAATCATTTTTGAGGAATGTGCATAAATAAACAAATTGAAAGTACCTTGGGATTTCCCCTTCGAAAGTTATAAGTACTTGCTTATTTTGCTGGCTGGAGTTGGACCTAATGGGCTTCTTTTGGAGTTTTGGGGAGCATGTTAAAAGTTTAGGTTGGGCCTAAATTCACTTAGATTGGCCTAACAATTTGTTAATTTGTGTTGGACTGTTGGACATATAAGAACTTAGATCCTTACATACCTAAATAGCAAAGTTTGTTTTTTTCTTTTTTGACGAGAAATAGCAAAGTTATTTAGACAACCAAATACTCATTCCATTTCACTTTAGTTGCAACAGTTTTTATTTTCGGCCGTTTCATATTAGTTACAACACTACTACATTTGAACACTACTATATGTTAATAAACATAGCATATAGAGTTGTCAATTCGGGTAAACGGGTCGGGTTTGGGTCAGGTAAGAGTGGGTCGGGTCAATTCGGGACGGGTAAATTAGATTAATTTAATAACCTATGCGAGTCGTGTTTGGCTTAGGTCATGCTTGAGTCGGGTCACGTCGGATCATACTTCTTATCGGTTTCAGGTCGGGTTACATTCGGGTCGAGTGAACAATAGGTCGGGTTTAATTCGGGTTAAAACGGGTTAGGGTAACTCTTGGGTTCAAGCCAGGTTCGGTTCAAGTCAATAATTTGCGGGTTAGAATCAGGTCGGGTCATTTTCGAATTTGTGTCGGGTTCGGTTCAAGTCAATAACTTACGGATTATAATCAGGTTGGGTCATTTTCAAGTCGGGTCATTCTCGACAAGTCGGGTTCGGTTCAAGTCAATAATTTGCAGGTTATAATCAGGTTAGGTCATTTCCAAGTCAAATCATTCTCAGATTCAAGTCGGTTATGTTTAAGTAAATAATTTGCAGGTTACAATCAAGTTAGGTCATTTCCAAGTCAGGTCATATTCGGGTTCAACTAACTATAAATAGATAATTATCATTTTTATCAAGCTAATTATTTCCTTTGACTATAATATATATGGCAATATACTAGGGAACTATAGTCTATAATTTAGGAAGATAATTATCTCCTTTTACCATATAACAAATATATACTATATTTAACTCTTAATTTGAGGATGATGCTCCTTTCTTTTGTTGGCCTGGGCCGACTTGGTATCCCAAGACAAAATGTTTTCATCAACAATAATAAAGTGGTCTAAATTGCATTTGAGGTGATTTGCAATCGGGTCAAGAACAATTTTGGTTGAATTTAGGTCGGGTCAATAACAAGTCGTTTTAATTTCGAGTCGAGTTAGTAACAGATCGGGTTGAATTTTTGGGTTGGGTAAGTAATAGGTATAGTAAAATTCGGGTCGGGTCAATAACAAGTCGGGTTGAATTTGGATCAGGTCAATAACAAGTTGGGTTGATTTCGAGTCGGGTTTGTAACAGGTTGGGTTAAATTCAGGTCCGGTTAGGAACAGATTGGGTTGAATTCAGGTCAGGTTAGTAACAAGTCGGGTTGAAATCGGGTTTTGACGGTTTAAAAAGGGTTTGAGTCAATTTCGGCTCAAATCGGGTTCGGTGCAAGTTAATTAAATTGGCCGTTGTAAACCGATAAATCGGTGCAAGTTATAAACCGGTAAATTGGCAGTTTAAAAGAAAATTGAATGGTTCCAAACACCCAATTGGACTCCCGGAGGATATTACGGATCATGGTAACATTTCAGCACTTTTTATTTCCGGGCGAAGAAAAAGTCAAAAATAAAGGCTAATATCCACGTTTTTTGAGAAATTTTGGAGGTTTCGGAGCACAGGGTTGAAAACTCTTAAAATTATATGAGATACATCTCGGGGTCATATAATGCCGTTTGGAACTATATATGATCATTATTTGTTGTCATAAATGTTCGTGGTAGGCTTGAATTAATGAAATCGGTGCAAGTTGTAAACCGGTAAATTGGTCGTTTAAAGGAAAATTGGAGGGTTCCACCCATTCAATTGAACTCCCGGAAAATATTAGGGATCATGGTAAACATTTCGGCAATTTTTATTTCCAGGCGAAAAAAAAAATCTCAAAATTGAAGGCTAATATCCAAGCTTTTTGAGAAATTTTGGAGGTTTCGGGGCCCGGTATAGAAAACACAATCGGACTCTCGGAGGGTATTAGGGACCATGGTAATTATTTCGGAAATTTTTATTTAAGGGCGAAAAAAAGTCAAAAAATTCAAAAAAATTAAGGCTAATATCCACACTTTTTGAGAAATTTTGGAATCTTCGGGGCCCGATGTCTAAAAGTCTTGAAATTCTAGGGAATACATCTCAGGGTCATATAATGTCGTTTGGAACCATATATGATCATTATTTGTTGTCATAAATGTTCGTTGTAGGATTAAGTTAATGAAATCGGTGCAAGTAGTAAACTGGTAAATTGGCCGTTTAGAGGCAAATTGGTGGTTCCACCCACCCAATTGGTCTACTGGAGGGTATTAGGGACCATGGTAAACATTTCAGAAATTTTTATTTACGGGCGAAAAAAAGTCAAAAAATTCCAAAATTGAAGACTGATATCCATGCATTTTGTAAAATTTTGAAGGTCTCGGGACTCGGTGTCGAAAAGTCTTGAAATTCCAACGCATATATATTTGTGTCATATAATGTCGTTTGTAACCATATATGATCATTATATGTTTTCATAAATGTTCGTGGTAGGCTTGAATTAATGAAATCGGTATAAGTTGTAAATCGGTAAATTGGTCGTTTAAAGGCAAATTGGATGGTTCCACCTACCCAATTGAACTCTGGGAGGGTATTTTGGACTATGGTAAACATTTCGATAATTTTTTATTTACGGGTGAAAAAAATCAAAAAAAATAAAAAATAAAAAATAAAAGGCGAATTATCCACGCTTTTAGAGAAATTTGGTGTCTTCGAGGCCCGCTGTCTAAAATTCTTGAAATTCTAGGATCTCGGGGTCATATAATGTCGTTTTGAACCATGTATGATTATAATTTGTTTTCAAAAATGTTCGTGGTTGGCTTGAGTTAATGAAATTGGTGCAAGTTGTAAACTGGTAAATTGGTTGTTTAAAGGAAAATTGGGTGGCTCTACCCACTCAATTGGACTCCCGGAGAGTATTAGAGACTATGGTAAACATTTCTGCAATTTTTATTTCCGTCTAAAAAAAGTCAAAAAATTCTAAAATTGAAGTCTAATATCTATGTTTTTTTAGAAATTTTGAAAGTTTCGGGGCCCAGTGTCGAAAAGAAATGAGATTTTAGGGGATACATCTGGGGGTCATATAATTTCGTTTGGAACCATAAATGATCATTATATGTTGTCATAAATGTTCGTGGTAGGGTTGAGTTAATGAAACCGATGCAAATTGCAAACCGGTACATTTGCCGTTTAATGGCAAATTGGATGGTTCCACCCGCCCAATTGGACTCGTGAAAGGTATTAAGGACCATGGTAAACATTTCGGGAATTTTTATTTCCGGGCGAAAAAAGTCAAAAAGTTTCAAAATTGACGGCTAATATCCATGCTTTTTGAGAAATTTTAAAGATTTCGGGGCCTGGTGTCGAAAAGGCTTGAGATTTAAGGGGATACTTCTCAAAGTCATATAATGTCGTTTGGAACCATATATGATCATTATATGTTGTCATAAATGTTCGTGGTAGGCTTGAATTAATTAATGAAATTTATGCAAGTTTTAAATCGGTAAATTGGCGGGTTAAAGGCAAAATAGATGGTTCCACCCAACCAATTGGACTCTCATAGGGTATTAGGGACCATAGTAAATATTTTGGAAATTTTTATTTCCTGGCAAAAAAAAGTCAAAAAATTCCAAAATTGAAGGCTAATATCCACACTATTTGAGAAATTTTGGAGGTTACAGGGCCCGTTGTCGAAAAGTTTTGAAATTATAGAGGATATATCTCGGGGTCATATAATTCCTTTTGAAACCATATGTGATCATTCTTTGTTGTTATAAATGTTCGTTGCAGGTTTGAGTTAATGAAATCGGTGCAAGTTGAAAACTGGTAAATTGGTCGTTTAAAGGCAAATTGGATGGTTCCACTCACCCAATTGGAATCCCAGAGGGTATTAGGGATGACATTTTGGCAATTTTTATTTCCGATTAAAAAAAAGTCAAAAAATTCAAAAATTAAAGGCTATATCCACGCTTTTTGAGAATTTTTTGAGTCTTCGGGGCCCAGTGTCGAAAATTCTTGAAATTCTAGCTAGGGAATACATTTCGGAATCATATAATGTCGTTTGGAATACTAGTGGAAAAATTGCTATCTGTAACGGGCAAAAAAAACCTATCCGTAACGGGCGACGACCGTTACGTATGCAGCCGTTACGAAAAGACAATTTATTTGTAGCTGGCTCTTGCAATATATGATCATTATATGTTCTTATAAATGTTCGTGGTAAGCTTGTGTTAATGAAATAGGTGCAAGTTGTAAACCGATAAATTGGTCGTTTAAAGACAAATTGGTTGGTTCTACCCAGCCAATTGGATTCTCAGAGGGTATTAGGAACCATGGTAAACATTTCGGCAATTTTTATTTCCAGGTGAAAAAAAGTCAAAAAATTCCAAAATTGAAGGCTAATATCCACTCTTTTTTAGAAATTTTCGAGGTTTCGGGTAGAGCTGTTAATTCGGGTAAATGGGTCTGGTTTGGGTCGGTAAGAGTTGGTCGGGTCAACTCAGGTCGGGTCAATTCGGATTAATTCAATAACTATGCGGGTCAAGTTTGGGTTGGGTCAAGCTTGAGTCGGGTCACGTCGAGTCATATACTTCTTATCGGGTTTGGGTCGGGTTTAGGACGGGTTCATAACAGGTCGGGTTATGTTCAGGTCGAGTGAACAATAGGTCAAGTTTCATTCGGGTTTTCATGGGCTAAAACGGGTTAGGGTAATTCTCGGGTTCGAGTCGGGTTAGGTTCAAGTCAATAATTTGCGGGTTAGAATCAGGTCGGGTCATTCTCGGGTTTAAGTCGGGTTCGGTTCAAGTCAGTAATTTGCGAGTTATAATCAGGTCGGTTCATTTTCAAGTCGGATCATTCTCGGGTTCAAGTCGGGTTCAGTTCAAGTCAATAATTTGTGGGTTATAATCAGGTTGAGTCATTTCCAAGTCGGGTCATTCTCAGAGTCTAGTCGGGTTATGTTCAAGTCAAAAAATTACAGGTTACAATCAGGTCGGGTCATTTCCAAGTCAGGTCATATTCGGGTTCAACTAACTATAAATAGATAATTATCATTTTTGACAAGCTAATTATTTCCTTTGACTATAATATATATGGCAATATACTAGGGAAATATAGTTTATAATTTAGGAAGATAATTATATCCTTTGACCATACAACAAATATATACTATATTTAACTCTTAAATTTGAGGATGATGCCGCTCCTTTCTTTTGCTGGCTTGGACCGACTTGGTCTCCCTAGACAAAATGTTTTGATCAACAATAATTAGGTGGTCTAAATTACATTTAAGGTAATTTGAAATCGCGTTAGGAACAATTTGGGTTGAATTTAGGTCGGGTTAATAACAAGTCAGGTTGAATTTTTGGGTTGGGTAAGTAATAGGTATGGTAAAATTCGAGTCGGGTCAATAACAAGTCGGGTTGAATTTGGGTCAGGTCAATAACAAGTCAGGTTGATTTTGGGTCGGGTTTGTAACAAGTTTGGTTAAATTCGGGTCGGGTTAGGAACGGATCGGGTTGAATTTAGGTCAGCTTAGCAACAAGTCGGGTTAAATTCGGGTTTTAACGGGTTAAAACGGGTTTGGGTCAATTTCGGTTCAAGTCCATAATTTACGGGTTACATTTTGGTCAGGTCATCTCCAGGTTAGTTCATGTTCGGGTTCGGGTCTCACATACTCGGGTCAAGTCGGGTCTAGGGTTGGTTTCAGATCGAGTTTGGGTCACATTTTTTTCGGGTTCAGATGGGTCGGTTAATAATCGGGCTTGAATCGGTATTTCGGGTCGGGTCAACTTTTGACAGTTCTAATAGTATGTGATATCGTACATGTTTAACCAAAGTATTACAATACTCTAGTGCAGAGTTTTTTTTTTTTGAAAGAACAATACTATAGTAATTAGAGAGTTTCCAGTCAAAAAAAATTAGAGTTAGATTTCATAAGAAGTGTGGGGAAATTACCTAATCAAATTTAACCTTGGGTATTGATATTATATAGTGATATAGAGTATCTTATTAACGATATACATCAACTATTTTTTTTTTGACAAGGATATATATCAACTAGAATATAATATACAATATAATTTTTTTTCTCTAATAGCGTATGTAGAAACAAATTAAAGTATGGCAATTTTTTTTTTTTTTTTTTTTTGGCAAGATAATTTCATGTTGTAATCTAGACATGATAGCATACTTGATTAATAAAAATCAATGGAAAATATTATTTGAAAGAGGAGAAAAGGTTGACATTGCCTTATTCTTGGCTTGTAGTAATAAGTGACAGTGAAAGCATCGTTGTAGCAACTACTAGTAGCTAGCAAGGTGAAAAACTAAATTCACCGTTGACTTTTTGGAAATTAATTAGTGATTTTTCACCATTTTCACTATCTACTGGAAACCTATACTAAGATCCCTATAATTTTCCATCTATTACTTTAGGAAGAAATTTGTCAATATCACTTTTTTCCTTTTATTTTATACAAAATGTATTATTTAGAACCATAAATATATAGATATTAATTATATATTAAAAATAATAATAAATAAAGAATAATATTTCCATATTCAATATATGTTTTTGGATGAATATGTCCATGATCTTTATAAAAATACAAAACATAAAGTATTTTTTTTAGGATTTTCTAACGCATATAAATTGCAAGAGTATATAATATACATTAAATTAGCTAAAATTTTAATTTATTTAAGGAATATGGCACATTAAATTAGTTGGTAAAAATTTTATTAAGTGGGGTCATCATAGCGTAATAAAGTGAGAAAAAAAAAAAATAAACAAAAAACTAATGCTATATAAAGGTAACTTCAACCTTCAAATTTCTTCGTACCACAAATTTGAATACATACACTTCACTAAAACTACACTCTCTTTCTTCAATCTAGTTTCTCTCTAAATTATAAACAAAAAAAAACCCTAGGTTTCAATCATATTATATTAGCTCCTAAGTTAAGCATAATTAGTTAGCTAATACAATCATCCTCTTGAATTAGTAGTATATATAATTCATAGAAAATGGAAAATGGTGATCAAAACAATATGATGAATACAAAAAGATATGCTCTTCTACTAGCAGCACATGACTCAGAGTACGTGAAGAAAGTGTATGGAGGATACTTCAATGTTTTTGTGGTGGCTTTCGGGGAAGAAGGAGAGACATGGGATTTGTATAGGGTTGTGGAGGGTGAATTTCCAAATATGAATGAGCTTGAGATGTATGATGGGTTTGTAGTTAGTGGAAGTCCTTTTGATGCTTATGGAAATGAGTATTGGATCCTTGAACTTTGCATTCTTTTGCAAACTCTTGATTCCATGCAAAAGAAAATTCTCGGTATTTGCTTTGGTCATCAGGTAACCAAATAAACATACTCTCTCTGTTTCAAAATCATAGTACGAGTACTAGCTAATTATATATTTCAACTAAATCATTATATGGCTTTCTCAAGAACATATATAGGCATATAGCACCATGCATACGTATGTTGTTTAAGATGATAGAATACACAATTTTAATTTTTGATATGAACATAAATCTTTAACAAATTTATGAAAAATATATTAGGAGTATATAGCATGTTTATTTTCAATTACAAACCAATATATTGTGATTATAGTGAAAAAAAAAGTAGGAAAAAAAAAACCGAGCATATTAATTTGGAGAATCATGCGATTGTAATTATGGTTAAGCATTTTCATATATGTTATTATTATGCGACAAGGGAACATAAAATTACCTTATATGCAAGAAATAATGTAAGATATCATATTATATGATTCATATATATATATATATTTAATTTACTTAATTACCTTATACAACGAGGAGGCCTATTGTTTAACTAGGTTTTGTTCTCGTAATAAGTAGTGCACCAATATGGTAGGAATTTTATTTATTTTATTTTATTTTTATGGGGTTTGATGGAAATATATAATCTTAAATCTTTATCAATACATAAAGTGGAATATATCTATTAAAGAATAATTTTGGACTATTTTTTTCCCTCAACAACATGGCCTTTTTTTCCATAAAATACTTTACTAGAATATTTTTCGAATATTACAAAAACATTTTTGACTTACCGGATAATACAATTGACATGTCATGATAGCGATAATACAAAGACTTGTATGAACTTATAAAAGAGAACTCTCTGAACCAGTCCTAGTTAGCTAGTAGTAGAGCACAATTAACTAAGTCCGTTTTGTTTTCAAAAAAAAAACTAAGTCCGTTTTCATTTAGTAAATAGATAAATACATATTTATCCTTTTCTATATAAGTTTTTTTCAACTTTGTCATAGCTATAAGATATTGAAAGTTATACGACAATGTATCTTAAGAGTTAAGAATAAAATAAACTAGTTTAAAGTTAGCGCACTCTATATAGTTAAAAGTTACTCGCATAAAGTATCTTATTATTAATAGCTATTATTTTAATTTGACTTAGATACGTTTTTTTTATAGGTGTTATGCAGGGCATTGGGAGGAAAAGTGGCAAGATCTCCTACAGGATGGGATATAGGATTAAGAGAAATAAAAATAAATAACAAGGAATTTTTTACCTCTCAACTTAATTTAGAGGTTTCAAATCATGAAATTCCACAAACCCTAACAATAATTAAATGCCATCAAGATGAAGTGTGGGAGTTGCCAATTGATGCTGAAGTTGTTGCATTTTCTGATAAGACAAAGGTGGAAATGTTTACCATTGGCAACCACATTTTGGGCACTCAAGGTCATCCGGAATATACCAAAGACATTCTTTACAACCTTCTTGATCGTCTACTTAACAATGGCTCTATAGAGGTATTAACTCCGATGTTAAAATTTATTTCTCCATATCACATAATGTTTAGTTTTCATAATTTAAAATTTAATACCATGCGAATTGTTTTGACACGAGCTTGTTACCATGCATACCTTTTTAATTTCTAATTTGTTTCAATTTGTCCGATACATAGGAAGACTTTGTTGAAGCTACACGGTCGAAAATAGAAAACATTGAGCCTGATAGAAAACACTTGGAGAAGATTTGCAAAAACTTTCTCAAGGGAAGACATAATCCTTCATATGGACTTGTTGAATTTTTCTAATCTAATGTAACAATTAGTGTTCAAGTATTGTACAGTCGAAACTAGCTAAACATACACCAAGCTACGTTGTTAACTTGTTTACAAGTTAACCGATTCTGCTAGTATTATGTTACTAATATGTCTTGACCATGTTTACAATTATGAGTCTATGACATATTAATCTCACTTTAATTTAAAGCTTAAATTGTTAGACTTGGGCTCAACCTATTCTTCTATTTATGTCTTCCAAAACTTATCTAGGATTGATTTATGCATGGTTTGGAATTGAATAGCATCTTAAGGCTATAAATACTTAGTATATGTTGGAATTGAGTACCCAACAAGTTCTAACTCCAAAATTTGAGATCCAGAACCAGAACCTATTGCGACAGGGCCTTAATTTTGTTTTGTTCCAATTCTAAGGTCCTGTTCTCTTCACCTTAAAAAAAATAATATTAAGTAAAAATAATTTCAGTTCAATAAAATTAATTTCAGTTCAGTAAAAATAATTTCAGTCCTATTAAAAAAAAGTTCAGTTCAGTAAAATTCAGTTTTCTTAAAGAAGAATTATAATAGAAAATTAGTAAAAATAATTTCAGTTTAGTAAAATTAATTTTAATTCAGTAAAATTAATTTCAGTTCAGTAAAATTAATTTCAGTTCAGTAAAAATAATTTCAGTTCAGCAAAATTAAGGTGAAAAGAACGGGGCCTAAGTATTCTAAATTATAGCTCACCTCTAATAGATAATGTCTCGCGTGTAAAGTGTCACACATGATTCCAGCTATAACAAGATATGTTTCAATTGAGAATATTGTATCTTTGAGATATGGAATCAACCCTCCGCTATTGTGGAATTTTATCCCCATGTCGGAATGTTGTACATATCAATTACAATTAAGAATCTCCAATTTTTAAGCAAAATCTAAGCTCAATATGCATTAGCACAATAAATGGTGTTGAATACATCTGGTTTTTTTTTCCCTCCTTAATCAATGGAGAATGAATCTTATTCTTAAGTTGATAACGATAGTTATATCATATATCATGTTTAAGATCACCAATTATCGTATTATCGGAAGTTGACTTTTTTTTTTTTGTTTTTATTTATTTATTTTGGTATTTTAAGGATTGAGTTCTTACTATTTATAGGGAAAATTGCATCTTATTTTATGATAGAAGGAAAGTAAATTCAATGCAGTAATTTTTTTTAACTTTTGCACGGTATGAAACTAATTTTAATATGTTATTTTTACTTAATAATTGATAACAAGTGGTAATAAGTAATACGTTGTTGGAATATTTTATTTTTTAAACAGGTGATGTCTACTTATTAGTAAATCAATATTGTAATTAAAAACTGAATAAAGTATATGAAACGAAGAGAGTATGCAGTTGGATAAATAGGAATTTTTTGAATAGAGATTTTCAAGTTGAATTATTTATATAACTTCGTATATTTTTTATTATAATTATTCAACGAACGCACGAGTTCTAACCTAGTTACATAACATAAATGAATTAAATCATACAAAACTTAATTTATAATGAGGACACCATCCTGTCCCATACCTTTTTCAACAAAAAGGGAAAGATTAGCAAGCCTTCTGTCAATTTAGAATCTAACAGGTTGCCTAGAAGCGAAGTTGAGAGTGGTGTTACAAACTTAACCACCATGGATGCTGCTAGTGAGATGATGATAGCTAGAGAGCCTTAAGGGGGTGTTGATGCCACTAGCCCCTCTAACTTTCAGGTTTCTAGACAGGATAAGGACAAGGGATTGGGGAGAACCCATATCTTCTTTAACAGATCAAGAGTTAATCAGTCCGATTCACTCCTGATGGGCATATGGAAGCTCACAAGGCAAAGGACTCCAAAGTTCATGTAACCTTGGTTATGCCCACTAAGATGGTGGGTCTGGAGAAGAGGAATCGAGTCAGGAAAAGTCAAAAGGAAAAGGCCATACAATTTATGGATGTCGCTGTGGTCAACGATGTTGTTGGGCTTCCCAAGTCAAGCATCATTGCCGTTGAGAAGTTAGACTATCATTTATCTACTTGCCTAACTTCAAGGAGCAATGAGGATTCAAGCATCGAGGAGAGGGGAGTGAGGAACCTGAGAGAATTTTAACTAGCACTGACATCGTTGAAGTGGAATCCGTAGATTCTAATGAAGAAGACCCCCATGAGTTTTGAACCAGGCTAGGTACGGTGCAGTCCTTTCCACCACTTTTTACTTTCAAGTTCTCTGCCTCGTCAAGGAAGCATGGAAGGCCAATTAGGTCAATGGTGAAGAACAAGCCAGGTAAAAAGTATTACAGGGTTTGTTTTTGCAAGATCGATAAAGAAACGCAAGGGATCAAGTGCGGAACATCTTAAATTATGACTAGTACTAGTGATGAATCCCCTCAACCCCCTTATTTGTATTTTCAAGCAATCCACAGTATTTGTACCCCAATCCCCTTTTTAGCACTTGTATTAGTATAGTTAACAAAGTCAAGTTGTCTCATTGTACTATCGAGTCAGTTGGGAGCTAGACTCCTTTTTGGACCGTTTAAAAAAAAAATAAGTATAGTTCCACTAATAAAGAAGGACCCCACATAACACATTGACAAATTGAGATAGAGACAAAATAAATAAGACACGTGCTTTAAAACATTTTTTTTTCAAATAAAAATAAAATAAAATTGGTTGTTATAAAATTTGCTTATTCCCTTTTTTATGGGGAAATTCCTCAATAGTTAAATATCAATGGATTGCCCTTTTTAATTTTAAACTAGTGTGTGTCCCTGGTGATGCCCCAAATTGCCAGTTTGTACTTCTTTGATTTGATAATTATATTCAACTGTGTTGTATAGCCAATGTGTGATCCGGACATTGCCTCGGATGTTACATTTTTTTTACCTCATATGTATTTATTTTCTAATTAATCTTGTGAAGAATAAATAAATTAAATAACCTCTAATCTGAAAAGAATGTATAATATTAATTATGTGAAATTTAAATCACTAATAAAAGTTGGTTGACATGGTAAATGTATAACCTTTATTTGTTGGAGGTTGCGGGTTCAAATCTAGATCAAACCATTAATTTATTTATTTTGATAAATGAAGTTGTAAGCTTATATGTCGCTTGTTCTTTTGTGGTACCATTCTTTCAAAAGAGATTAGGTTACGAGATTATCCCCCTACTTCCTAGAAAAGTAAGAAGAGCAATTGATGAGATTCAAACTTGTGAGTTCCACATCAACTCTACCAAGCTTGCTTGGTTAGTGGTTACTTACAAATTACTTATTGTTTACATTAACTTGAAAGTCAATTTAGGCTTTTCACTCATTTTACAAATCAACAAAATGCTACTAAATTTAATCTTAAAATAACTAAGAGACTAATACAACAACTCCATAAGATAATCATATCCGTTGATACAATTTGTTATAATTAACTGTCAATCAAGCCTTAGGCTCTCTTTCAAAAGAAAAAAAAATCAAGCCTTGGCGCCTGTTCTCATATACTGAATTGAACTGAACTAAACTTAACTGAACTGAAATTAAATGAATATTTTATAAGATAAGGAAATTATGAGCTGAAATGAACTGAACTAGAGCTAAACTGAACTGAACTGAAAATAAACATATGAGAACAGGCCCTTAGGCTCTCTTCTTTTAAGCATATAAGTACAAAGTAACAAAATAAGATGTTTCAAATATAATATCCCCCATTTTAATTCACGGCTTAGAAGATTAGTTTTATTGATGTTAACACAAATATAATCAATTAAGGAATAATCTGGAAAGGAACAGACATAAAGCATCTTTCTTATATATTTTCGCATGATCATTTGCTCAGATTAATAATCAAATGCAAATATTAGATATGAAATAATCATATAGATTAGATACACTGCATAGACAATTCATATTTATTTTCCAGCTCATGTTTCGAGCACACAATTGTTACCAAAATTTACCTACTGTCTTTAAACAATGCTTGATGTAATCACAAAGAATCATATTACACGATTGTGAGTCTAGTCGAAGCTCAAAGCTACAGTTTTCGATTCATGTATAAGCTTACAACACACAATCGAAAATAATCCGGTGCCTACATGAGCAATCATTGAATGATGTAAAGCTTTACAAATGTAATTGCTGGAAAACAGAAAGAATACACAGATTCTTAACCTCTGCTGTCGTTTGCTTGTGTATGATGTTTTGCTTGTATTTCTCGCTGAATATAGCTGTCATGATTTAATAATAACATAAAGATGTATGTTATAGGCTTCAGATTGTTTAATTTGCCTTCTGTTTCTTTTTTTCTATTCACGGGTGTCTGATGGTAAGAACATAATGTACAGCAGTTTCATTCAGAATGTCTCGCTGCTACCACTTGCGCTTTCTGGCTGATTTTGATGTCCTCTTCCGCTTTAAACCCCAGGAAAGGCTTGCTACATGCATCCTTCTTTTAGTATCAAGGATATCTAAGTTAATCTTTTTTTTGGCACCTAAATATCCTTGACAGTTACCAGCACCACAGCAGCACTTAACCTCAGGCCCAAATTGCACAAACCTACAAAACCGGAAACCAAAGCCAGGACAGCATGAGGGAAGTCAATAGATCCAAAAAATCGTGTTGCTATTCATACACGCTAACAGCACATAGGCAGAACAACAAAGAGAAACAGATGAGAGTACAAGACGTCAAGATTGACATGCCAGGTTACTAGTGTCAAGTAAAAATCAGAGCAAGATTTAAGACAAAGCAAAACAGATAAATAGAGTAGGAAAGGAGAAGATATATGTACCGGTAATCATAGGTAAGTGGTTCTCCAATTTTTATGGGTCGAGCAGCAAAGGCACCCACACGTATATCCCCTTCTACTTGCCTTCAATAACAAAAATAATAGGATTATGACATTCATTCTCTTTCCAGTGCAATGTAAAGAGAAGAAATTCCACAGGCAGGTTTTGCAGAGGATGACATTATCCGTAAATGAGTATATCCTGTTTATTTTCTTCGAATGATTGAGATCAGTTTTACAAAAATTTTGTGCAAGATTGCCTATATTCAAAAAGCCATTTTTTTCCAGCTCCAAACTACAAGGAGCAAACCCCAATTCAGTTTCTCTAAATTTTAATCTCGTGTAGAATCATGGACTTCAAATACCTTCAACTATAGTAATAGCCTAGCCCCTCATATTATAGGGGTAAAACCAACCATCACATTATTCACCCCTAAAATTTAAAAATTCATAATCTTATTAAATAATGCCTAACATCAAGAAATTGTCAATGCCCCGATATGCTATTTGACCTACAGAAGTTGGCGAACCCCTAAGAGGCCAATTCAGAAAACCATGCAGGAAAAATCTTACTAAGATGGCAATTACAAGAAACAGATAATAGGTAAAGCTAAGGTCTTGCACTGTAGACAGCTAGAATCAGTTCAACAGTGAATCAACCGCATACAAAACTAAGAATCTGGTATATTTCATTTTGTAGAAAATCTATTGAATAAAGGTTGACTAAAAAATCACCAAGCTAATCTGGCACTCTGATACTCCTATACAAAGAGAATACCATACAGTTTCTTTTCAACCATTACTCAACGTTCATAGTAGAAACAAAAAATTAACAATTATAATCTTAAATGCTTTCATCAAAATGCCAAACCATACAAGTTTTTAAATGCAAAGGGACCAGAGGTAGGGCTAAGTAAATTACACAATAGCACTGCTCTTTCACTTCATCAGAACACTGCAGGTGTCTATAGTCAAATCATTGCACAGCACCAAGAATTCATATCACTTCACAATCATTAGTCACAATAGGAAGGTCAAAGTAACTCACCATTTCTCTAACTTGCAGTTTGGGTCACAACTATGATTCAGGAAACGAGATGCATTTCCCTTGAATGTTGCATCGATTGTGAAGTCTTTACGGATTTCACACATGTAAAAATTTTTCACCTCTTTGTTTTTCATATCCCATAGCCTTTGCGTACATAACAGATCATCAATAACTGGTTAAGAAACAGATGTAAAAAGGGGTTAAGGTTAACAACAAATTTTGTACCAAGGTTTACAGAAGACAGATATTTTCAACACTTGTAGCTCAAAATACAACTAGGTATAACACGTGTTCCTTTGCAGCAAGCAACCTCTCAAGTATGAAAGTCTAACTTGTTCTCTTCAATAAATATAAGGTGTTCTCGTCTGTTTTTATCAAGAACGGATCTGACTTTAATACTAATACAATTACACTTTGGCCTTGTTTTTACGCTAATATAAGGGGGGGGGTGAATAATTATTAAGTAGATTTATCTCAATAATATGTACTTTAAGAGTATAAGCAGTTACATATCTAGTAGTAAGTAAATGAAAATGTAAGTTGGAGAATTTTTTTAATGGTAAACTCCATTACTGCAAAATTCCAGATTATGGAAATTTCTCGACCTTATTTGCATCAAAAAATTTGTTAGATTAAATTTGTTACATTTTATATTGTGACCTCTATTTCTGCAAATTTTAAGATGGTGGGTGTTATAGAAATCATATCTTCATTCCCTTCCTCCATGATCAACCACCACTACTACCCTCCTCCATGCTTGCCACCCAGCACACCTTCCCTAGAAAATCCTTTTTCTCCACCCTCTTTAAATCTACATTTCTCTCCCCCATCACATCCACCTCCAATACAATCTTTCTTTACCTCCACCCTCAAAACCTTTGGAATTTGTTCCTCTTAACCACCACCAACTTCATCTTCTTCCTTCAACTCTCATCCTCCACCATGTTGGTCTCTAAATAAAACCAGCATCATCCATAGCAGGAATTAGAGATGGTATATGGTGGTGCTAACAGTAGTTGCAAGGTATGTGGAATGTAGGGTTGGCTGGTTGGGCAGTGGAATGTGGGCCAGTAAATATGAAGGAGAAGGGAAACAGTTATTTAACAGGTTTTATAAGGCCACAAAAATATATTAATCAAAAGTTTAGGGCAACCTTATAAAGAGGAAAAAATCTAAAAACCAAGAGGTCCACCATCTAGAATTTCCAAATATATCTAGTCAAGTATAGTTTGATTAAAATAAGAATAATATACAAGTTTAAAATAAACCAAAGATAACAAGTTCTCAAGCATAAAATATAGTACAAGCTTGACAATATGAATTTACACACCCAAATGCATCAAAAGAGTTAAAAAAATATATATAAATAAAAAAAAAAAAAAAAATCCAACTATCGAACAGAAATTTTTTCTCTTATAAGCATGTCAAGACAGTAAAAACAAAATGCCATAGATTTTACACACTTAATGTTCAACCAAGAATCACAGTCCTTGCTCCTTAGTTACTTATTTCAACAAAATCGAGACAATGCTAGTATTAGTAAAGAGCTAGTTCCTCAATTGACAAAGATACAGAATGGATGCTTGATTCTTAAAGATAAAACTGAATTGCTTGTAGGTGACGATACAGCTTAATTACAAAACAATGATCTTGCAAATAGATCACTAGATTATGAGTTATGACTAGTACTAATTTGATACTCCCTCCGTCCCTTATCTACATGCCTACTTTCCTTTTTTGGTGTTTCAAAATTACATGCCAATTTCTATTTAAAGATTGTACTTTTTGAAAACATTGCCTCTTTTTTATGAGTTGTCATCATTTTTTTTTTTGGTACTTTTGACATCATTTTCTAACACTTTCTCTCTCCATCTCTTCAATAATTACCAACTACCTTTTCTTTCTCTCTATCTCTATCTAACCCCACATGCATATTTGCACTTCCCAATCATGGGTTTTAAGGAATCTCTAAGTTCCTTAATTCCCGTAAAAAATGGGAAGTAGGCATGTAGATAAGGAACGGAGGGAGTAGCATGATTCAAGAAGATTGCATATGAAAAACAAATATATCTTACTTTCATCGCCAATTAACACAAATTTGAAGCAGAATGCAACAAAATAAATCAAAATATGCTTATTACCTTCCCCAACATATTCAATGATAAAATCTCCCTTGTTTATAGCTTCAGCAGCCTCTACTCCCCATCCACAAAGTTCAGTCTGAAGAAAAGGAAAGAATAGATGTAATTTGTGAGATCAAACAATTTGACTAGGATAAAGTGCATATTTTAAAGACAAGATGACAAAGTAAAGCAGTTTTTTTTTTTTTTTTTGGTCTTAGCTTACAACAAACAAATCTGCTCATTACTTAAAGTAGCAAGCTTGCTTGTCCAATAATAACATCATAAAATCTTACCCTAACAATTTTGATCTTCTTCTCCTTGCGAAATGGTTTGTTTGTGCATGCATCTGAGCAGTGACAAGATCTTGAACAACTAATGCTTTGAACTCTACAAGATCAGATTGAATATGGGAATTATAGTATTAAAAGATGATGACGTATTATGGACAAGGACATGGGCACGTGCATAATTGGTTATACATCGAATGACAAACCACCAGAGATGATGGTCGAAGGCATAATAAGAAATAGCTGTAAATAATTTGCATTGAAAGACGCAGACTGACACTATGAAAGAAAAAAAAAATTGAAACCTCCCTACAGATAGATGAACCACTGTGATTGGCTTAACAGATCATCAAGAGATTCATGACATATATGAAGACGCAGACTGACACTATGAAAGAAAAAAAAAATTGAAACCTCCCTACAGATAGATGAACCACTGTGATTGGCTTAACAGATCATCAAGAGATTCATGACATATATGACTCCAGACAGGAAAAGCTAAGCATTAGATCCTTGAACTATATTTTATCAGATTTGGGTTTTGCAGATTATTAGTAGTCACTATAACGTAAGGATTAAAAATAAAGTTTAAAAAACTAAAAGGAAAAAAAGAAAAGGCCTATATATTTCAAATTCAATGAATGAAGAATGAATAGTTAAATAGGACAACCAATTTATTAGGGGGAAACAACAGTAATTATACTACATATGATACTAAATTACTCAACAGTAATTATACTACATATGATACTAAATTACTCAACAGTAATTATACTACATATGATACTAAATTACTAACAGTGATTGGCTTAACAGATCATCAAGAGATTCATGACATATATGACTCCAGACAGGAAAAGCTAAGCATTAGATCCTTGAACCATATTTTATCAGATTTGGGTTTTGCAGATTATTAGTAATCACAATAAAGTAAGGATTAAAAATAAAGTTTAAAAAACTAAAAGGAAAAAAAGAAAAAGCCTATATATTTCAAATTCAATGAATGAAGAATGAATAGTTAAATAGGACAACCAATTTATTAGGGGAAAACAACAATAATTATACTACATACTTCCTCCGTTCTTTTTTACTTGACCCGCTTTGACTTTTTATACTATTCATCACTCCTCCTTTGACCGTCTTTTGTGAATAATTTGTAAGAAAAAACATGTTCATGTTGAATATTTTTGAATTCATCTCAAGAAGTACTATCATAATATACAACTTTTATAATTTTTACTTATGGAGAATTAAAGTCATTAATCGTTGAAGTTTTGCATTGGAAAGCGTGAAAAAAGAAACAGGTCAAGTAAAAAAGAACAGAGGAAGTATGATACTAAATTACTCAACAGTAATTATACTACATATGATACTAAATTACTAACAGTTTTATTACCTCAAGCCACAAAAGTAGACATATAGCAAGTATAACCAGATGCTATTAAAAAAAAAATTAATAAGAATGCATGACAAACAGACTTGCATCTGACCTGCAAACACAGTCATCAGAGCATGCTGAACGGCAACTTGTGCAACCGATATCCATAGTAGCATCTTCCCGCTTTTTCTTGACAAGATACACATCTAGATTTAGTTAAGCCAATGACCATAAGAATGAAGAGAAGATAGTTCACTTGTTCATTCTATTTTGAGAGCATAAGTATCAGAAACCCGAGGGATGTTATTTCCTTCCCTACCAAATTTTGATGACAGTGAGTCTATTAAATATTGACTTTCAGCTGCCAAATTTAGAGCATTTCGTGTTTTTTTTCCTGCCCTTTCCCTTGCTCTGCAAAGAGTTCCATATAGACGAATTGAATTTTTATTTTTTTCCTAGGTTATTTTCTACAACAGACATGATCACATGAATTAATTATTTTAAGTCTAGTTGGCAATGGTAAAGAACAACAAAAGATATCTGACAGAAGAAATAAAAAAGGATACTGCGCCTAATATGCACATAAGGAGGTGGCTCCAATTTGTCAATTGGACTATCCTTCAGCGTAGACTCTATATTGAACTCTTCCTCAACGTATGGCAAAGGCAAGCGAGAGAATACGTCCTGAAATTAGAAGCAAGCATAAGTTTATTAATCTGATGACATATGTCAGGAAGTTCCACAGTTCCACCAATTTAACTTTTGTAAAACAGAAACATTCATTGCAGATGAATCCTCGACAGATCTTAACCTCTAATTATATTATTAATATGGATGTCTACCAGTTGTATTCAAAAATCGTCTACATTGATTAACCTTTATGCCTCTCAATAAAAGGTGAACATAGATATTTTTATTACACCTTTCAAGTAAAACAAAATATTCCTACAACATGCAATACAACATTATTTTTTATTCCATTTATCTTTACCGCATAAATCACACAACTAGATTTTAATAAACAATTTTACAAATCATGTCTTGCATGAATCTATTCACGTATAAAAGTGACAATAGCTAGAAGAAGATCAAATCTGACCTCAAAATTATTAGTTGCTGCTCCATGCTGCTCAACCAATAAGAGACATCAGTCCTGTCAGCCAGCTTAATCAATGAATAATAAGATAGAAGCAGCAAAGATGAAAGTTGATAGATTCCTTATATACAAAGATGTTTTAAGATAAACAAGTTACAGGCACAGCAAACCATCATCAAATAACATCAGCCTAAGTACAGCAACAGAAACAAAATATGGATACAATTCAAACTGAAACACAGGAGAGGACATTTTCCAAAACATGGGGAAAAAGAATTTTCAATAAAACAGCTATTTAAGAAAAGTTACTAAAAAGTTAATTCAAACAATTACAGTACTATACTCCAAATTTTTGGTTTAGCAAATCTTTGACTGCTAACATATAGATAGGGGAGATGAAAAGATAATTAGGATCCAGACGTTTAAAGAAGAAAACATCTACAAATAAAGGTAAAGTGTGGTATAGTGTTTGTGTAATAAGGACACATCATATATGCGTAATATAGATATCTTTTATAGTTAGTACCAAAACTCTACTATAAACAAACCTATATCCTTCAAAAGACCCAAGTCATTTCCCCCCACATAGCAGATGAAACCATAATACCAAAACTCCAACGTCTCTTACATAGGTTCACCAACACACCCCTTACTAATTGAGCGATTTCTCTATCCTCTCAGTCTCCTCCCTGTATGGTTAATACAGATCCAAAAATATCGGAATTAAACAAAAATCCAACATAAAGGGGGTCTTGGTTCAGACTTTTAGGTATCAACCATATTTATCACTGAATAAACCCCCACTGGGCCCACTCTCCAACCAGTCACCAATCTTCTTCACTATTATCTTTAGCTTCTATTTGGTACTTCATGCACTTATTTCTACAAGATAATTCCCATCAAAATGCTAGATTAAATAAAATACATCTGATATTTTAAAACTATAAATGTAGACCAGCTAGATCCTAGTGGATTTCGGATCCAATAATTAGGAATTCAGACAAGAACTAATGGCAATAGGTCATAAGTTCCAGAAACAAGATAGGAGCAATTAGATCCGCTTGGTCTAAGCCTAGCAGCTTCAACTTTAAACTCATTTAAGTATTGAAAGTTTGTGCTCATACCTAGTCTCAATGTCTCGTACATTTCTTCATCACCTTTTTGATACTCTCTCTTTAAGAATCAAATCATCCGAGTCATTTCCAATTTTAGTTATTGTAGATTCCAGAAGTCCATAATCTTGGGATCATCTGCCTTCAAAATTCCCTATTAGGCATCTTGCTTCTTTACTCTTTAAACAACTTTCCGTTGGTATATTCCGACCTTCAACTTTTCCTTCACAAACTTAAGGTTCTGCATGAATCCTAAATAAGTCCAAACCCTACCAAATAATCACTCTAAAAATCTTGAAACCTATTACTTCCTCCATTTTTTTATAAAGAAGTAGTCCCATGTGATGAGGAGAGAAATAGAGAAAAATCATATCTATAAGTAGTGATGTTACACTTATTATGCAACTTCCAAGAAAGAAAAACGTTGCACTTTTTTTTTTGGGGGGGGGGGGGGGAAGTAATTAAAATTGTGTTGCAATGTTCGCATAGTTTAGGAATCTAGAACTAAGGAACACAAGAAGATTCTAAAAGGATTAGCAAGTAATTCAACATATTTCTAGTCCTAGCCTTCAACTGTAAAGGTTCAAGCTCTACTGATCAAGTGTTAGAGCCCAAAAATCTATCCAGCCTCATGGCCACATTATATGCCCTGCCAGACCATTTGCAACAAATCACAACCATATAGTAGCAACAAAGCCTCCTGCTAGCAATGATACGTACTTTCTTGGTTTCTCACCCCCCCACCCCCAAGATCCACTTTTGGAAGCACAAACCTTACATATATCTCCACCCTGCTTAGGAAAACCTTTAATCGAAATAAGGGTTATAAAGGCCATTACAGAAGTAATCAAGTAAACTACCACCAATTCCCCTCTAGAATCAGAAGGTAAACAAACAACAAAAAGGGTCCATAAAGGTCTTTAACCCTAGTAACATAAAAGCTACGTAGTATCAAAATATCTCCAAAGCATCACAAAAAATAAGACAAACCTAATCTCTGTATTTAAAGTTACCCCAATAGACCTAGTTTGAAAATATCTCCTTCACAAGAAGTTAATTTTTTGTTCAACTTTCCAACAGTGACCTAGAATTGAATTAGATAAGATGCCTTAATGTCTGCTAATAATTTTGTGTCAATGATTGTTTATTAGTAACAAATTGATGATCTTCTTACCACAGGGTTCAGCACTTCAGCAAGAACAACCTATCCATAACTAGAATAATAAGATTGTACATGTACATGGTACATCACTACATCTAACTCCCCTACTTAGTTCCAGAAAGAGAATTAGGAGTTTAGTATTATATAGTAAAATTTCAATATAGGCTTTAATATAACAAGAAAACGGAGTTATTGTGTCAATAAATGCTTCCTGTTATCATACAACTAAATCAAATTACACCATATAATAGATAGATTAGATCTCAGTTCATAAATAATATACGAAGATAAAAAAATGTTTCACTGGTAGGAATGAAACTATGCCAATGAAGAAAAAGAGGAGATTGACCTCCTGCCGCCAATCTTTTGGGTGCCTCCAGCAAACAGTCCATCCCGGACGCTCACTCAGATGAATCACTTTATCTGGCCAAGCTGCACATTTATCATGTGAAGCCACTTCACACCTCACACAGCGCCAAATAAATTTCTGTTTACATATAAAGCATACCTGGAGAACAAATGTAATCAATGTAGAAAGTAATTAATGGAATATGTAAACAATTATTTAAAGATATTACATAACACCACACAAAATATTCAAATGAAAATAACAAATAATTGCAGGTTAAGATATTACAAAAACACACAGATTATCGATTCCAAATAAATGAGTCAAATGAAGTACTACTTGAAGAGGAAGAAACAATCCTTAACTATCACATGCAACTCAGTGAGATCCAGGATTGACATGCTCAGTCATTTTAATAGTGTGAGGTTATCACGTTACGAAATCAACTTATGCCTTCTCCGTGTGCAAGTTGTCCTATCCAGTATGTTATTTGAAAATACAGCCAATATACCACAGATATACATGTATGGTTAATATACAAGTCCCAAACCTTTGATATTAATTAAAATAAATATATATAGTAGGAATTATCTTTCTATCCAATTTTCTTTCAATTGATATTCAGCCAGATTATGGTAAACAATAATGATTTGTGTGAAATAAAGACAGATATTCGACAACTAGAAGAAACAGGATTTGTTGGACTAAATATGACACAACAATTAGGAACATCAATTTAAAACTTTACATGTTGAGGGCACTTGAACTTTCTTGTGACCGAATATCGAAAGTTATCCTTTGCACACTTCAAATGGTAAGTTCCCTTACACCCTCGGACAGCGCAAGAGACCTCATCCCCAGGGTAGATGTAACTTGAACAAGCACGACACTCAACCTGAAAAAAGTCACTAGTAATAGTTAACTTACCATATGAGCAACACCATGTCTGCTAGAGCAAAAAATACAAATGTACAATTATCACAAGTTCACTCATAATCATATATCATATCAACATACATGAAGAATGTTATTGAGTTCTCTCAAGAACAAATTTGAATTAATAATACAAGTCATGACCAATCTATCAAACAATAATATTTTCTAAATAGTTTAGCATGTAAAGGGCTTAGTTTTATAATAGATACAAAAAGTGCTTTCAAGTTTGTCGTGACAACAGTAAAAAACTAATAACATATCTGTTTCCAGATTATGATATTCTATTACTATCCGGTTCAGTTAATGGTACATGGGGTTTGTGTACATTTAATGCAGAGCGCCAAAGCCTTTTAAGAAACTCTGCCATGAGTTTCTATATTATAACAATCGGGTGAGCTATCAATAACTTTGTCAATATGAAACTAAGAAGCGATGCTCGAACAAGATCTCACTAAATGGCTCAAGCATTTCACAACAAACATCAGAACATTATCGCTTCCAACTTTAACCCCCAATCCCACAAAAAAACATAAATCCTAATAAATAGATGACGTGTAAGTCTCAGAGACTAGCTTTCTAGTTCTACTAACAATAAAACAATGATTGCTCTTAACCTTAACGCCTATGACACGTGGATACAGAACAAGAATGTCAAATTGTGCTTAGATGTTACACTGAAAACAGAATAAACATGCATACTGCGATAATTATATTTTAAAGCTTGTGTGCTAGGACACACATTTCCACTATCGATACACACTGACATAAGTTGAAATTATCAATCTCAGACAAGCACCCAATAATTGACAACTCCTAATTATCAATTACTCACTATTCACCATGCTCAAAATTGACGATTTTTAACTACATTATTCCGGAATTTTATCCTTGTTAATCGGAAATGATTCTCTCATCACCAACAAATATACAAAAGAAAAAGATCTTCAGCAAGTAAATTACTCATTTCCAATAAACAAAGCATCATGATAACTAATTCACCTCAACCGATCAATCAGGCCAAATCAATTACATCAATTACACCATAAACAAACCAAAAAAACAATAACAAATCATTTTTAAAACAAACCACAAAACAATAACAATTCAAGTACAACAAACCCTTAATCAACAATTAGAACCAATTCACCTCAACCGATCATCAATTACATCAATCAATTACACCATTAACAACCACAAAACAACAATAAATCAATTTTAAAACAATTCAAAAAAATCATCAAAAATTCAAATAAACAGCATTACCAATCTATTCGAACCCTCGAGAAACGAAAGAAAGCAGCGATTCTCCGGAAACCCTAAACCCAACCTCCTCGCTTTCCAATCACCAACATAATCATCCAAACACTTGTCACCATTTCCACCAATAACCCTCTTCTTATCACAATCAATAGCACCAGAACCCATCCTAGTAACCCTAATTTTCAACAACCCTCTTCTACTCCCAGAAATTTCAGCAAAATCACCATTAATCGGAAGCTGGGGGCGCAAATCGAAGTCATCCATATAATCTAGGGTTTTAATAGGGCAAGGAAAAAGAGAATCAGAAGAATCGGATAAAGAAGATTTGATTGGATTAGGGCAGTAATTTAGGGTTAGGGTTTCGGAATTAAGGAAAGGAGCACCAAAATCCGGCATGGTATCGTAGAAGATTAGAGGAGAGAGAAAAACAGTATAAGACTGAGGTTGGCTGTGTTCTTTAAGTTTTGGGGTGGTGGAATTTGGGCGGGAAGAATGAAAATTATTTTGTGCCAAATTTCTTGGGATACTTTGATTTTTAACGCGGTTTTTTTCCTTGTTCAAGATGTTTAGAAGCAAGCACCACTATGTGTCTGTGTGCTTCGACTTCGGGTCGATGGGTCTTTGTAATGTTCTCTCTCCGTTTTGGAATGATTGTTATGTAATCGGTTTATTTCATATTATTTATTTGTATTTTTATATAATTGTTCTGACTCCTGACCTATATGGTATTTGTGATGTAAATTATGTTGTTGTATTACTTTCAACTCTTAAACTTCATATTTCAAGTGATGTGGGGCTTTTCACTATTTAATATGAATCTCGTTGTAAAGTGAAAAAAAAAAAATTGGTATCTAATACAATAACTTGAATATGTAGAGAGTTGTTTACGAAGTTATTTCTTAGGTCATTTCATATTTGGAATACTATTTGTAAACGATTTATCCACCATATACCCATAAATAATTTGTTTATTCATCATATGCCCATGAAAATTCTCAAATTTACCATATATCCCTAACTTTAACAAAATGTCACCAAATACCTAAGAGCTTGTTTGGCATCATTTTTTGTTTTCAGTTTTCTTTTTTTTGAAAACTAAAGACCAAAAACAGGAAACAAGAAAAAAGGTGTTACCACTTTTCTTTTGTCGGTTTTCAAAATTATCATGATTTTAATAAGTCTAAATAATTTTTGATTTATTATGTGACATATATAATATACTTTTAAAAAACAAAAAACCAAAAAACAGAAAACCACAGCGATGTCAAACGAACCCTAAATGACTAAATGCGGTTAACTCTATTAGCCATTAAGGCTAGTTATGCCATGTGGCAGCCTTTGATTGGTTCTTTTATATATTTTATAAAAAAAATAAAAAAAAAAACCCAACCACCCACCCTCCCCGCCCATCACCGCCGCCAGCCCCATGCTCCACCCAGCCTCTGATTGTTTCATAACTATTATAAATACGGATTATTAGGCAATTTTTGGTGTAGAGAGAGGTAGATAGAATAAATAAAGATAGCCTATGTGATAAAAGAGAAATAAAGAGAATTTATATTGTATATGTCGTATGACTTTTAACTAATGAAATATTTTTGTTGTTCAAAAAAAAAGAGAGAGGGAAATAGAGAGAATTTATTAACTAAAAAAGAAAGTCATGCATATACATTGAAACTTCTATTTTTAAAAAAGTGACACATCTAATTAAAAATGGAGGAATTGAAGTAGCTATTTTAATTAAAACAACCATGGTTAGTTTTATAATAATTAAATAACTTTTTAAAAAAAAAAAAAAAAAAAACCCTCCCCCACCAACTCAGCCACCTCTCCTCTCCCACTCAACTGTCGGCGCCTAGGCTTCCTTTCCCGCTGGCCAACCCTACCTCGACACCCCTACCCCACCTTGATTTCCCCACCCTCACCCCCACTCCTCTTTTTCCCGCCTCAATACCAACTCTAACCTTAACTGAATCCTCTTCATCATGAAAGAGGCAAAGAGAAATACGGAGGTTGAAGGATTCAGAGTGAGGGAAGATAGAGGAGTTGGAGTTGATGATAGAGAAAAAGTAGTGTTGAGCGAAGGAGTAATGGAGAATGGAGGAGTAGCTGCCATTAAAGCAATAGTGGATGAAGTTTGCGGACATCATGGTGGCGGTGGGAGGGGAGAGGAGAGTGAAGGATTAGAGTAGGAGGAGCAGTGACAGGAGGGAAATTAAAGAGTAGAGAATGAAAGCTAAAGGTGGTAATATGAAAGGGAGGGTCGTGGGGGTTATGGTGTCGGGGTAAGGTGTGGGGGGAGAATGGAGGAGAAACCCAATAACTCCTGACCATATCTAATGGTGAGACTCAAGTTTGAGTATTGAAATACAATATGAGTTGTTTTTTTACCTCTAATGGTGATATCATACCTGATTAGGGGATTTTGCTCCCACCAATCGGAATGCGCCACGTGGGCCAATCAGGTCCTACCAAGTGTCCCCCAGTTGGACCTCTCAGGGTTTGCCACGTGGCACACGCTTATTCGCCCACCCTGGACTTATTATGTCATGACGCGTGGCATACTCCATGCCTAATGGAGAAGTCGGTCACCTAGGCCCAACTTCCGAGGGAAGCCCAATCAGCCCAAGGTTAACCTAAACCTAGATTGGCACGTTTCCCAAGGTTATAAATACCTCCCTTAATCCTCATTAAGGGAGATTACGCAGATTACACACATTAAACACTCTCACCTAGAGAGACCCAATCACTTTAATTTCCGCATTAATTACTCCTTAATCAAGTACTAACTTGACCGTCGGAGGCGGATCTCCAATCATCCGAAGCATCCGTTTGTTTTGCAGGTACAGGCGTCCGGTTCCAGTCTCGGAATTGTAACTCTCCCGCAGGACATTAGAAAACCCCGAAACATTTTGGCGCCGTCTGTGGGGAGAGTACTTCTGAGATGGCACCCACGTTTGTACCGGCTCCTGAAGAGAGACGTCCCCTGGACGATCCTCTAGTTCAGTCGGACCACGATACTGAGAATGAATTTGAAGTTGAAGCCCACACAGCTTCAGACGGGACCCTAAGGGCCCGACGTACCCGTCATACCGAAAGGAGGGAACGGGAACATCTTCAAACTGGAAGCGAGCCAGCAGGCGCACCGCCTGTTCGGCAGCAGCCGACTGATGGGTCTGCTCCCATCACAAGGAACGAACTCATGACCTTCATGAGGGACTTCAAGGGAGAAATTCAAGAGTTGATCAACAAGAAGCCGCCTGCTCTGGACAAGGAGCAGTCGGCTAAGAAACCCTCCACTTCACGGAAGAGGAAGCCAGTTCAAGGGCGAGAGGCGACCCCTCATCCTAAATCTAGGAAGTGGGAGCCACCTGCCCTTGATTTCACAAAATACCGTTTTCCTACTCCAGGAAATAGGAAACATGTTCGTCATATTCAGGCGGACGGGTCGAGGAAAACATACACAGACGCTCGGCTACTGCTAGAGCAGAAGAAGAGTGACCGATTGTCAGAGTCGGCCTCTACTTCAAACTTCCAAGACAGTCTGCGAAATACCTCGATGAGGCATACTCAGTCGTATCATGAGGGTCAGTCAGGCGGCACCTCCCGTCAGTCCGGCTTTAATAGCGACCAGGCGGTACCAAACTTACCGTTTGTACCGCAACAACAGTATTTTTTACATCCACCTCCGTTTGGTGGACATGCAGCAAAAAAATGTCCAACCTATGGACTGGCAGCTACGGTTGCTTAGACTTGGTGAACAGTCGTCGGCCTTCTCCAAGGAAATTACTGAAGCCGCTCAGCCGGCCAAAGTGAAAAATGTATTAGTAGGCGCCTATGACGGCACTACTAACCCAGAAGACCATCTGATGGCATTCACCAACCTGATGTACCTTCAAGGGTTGGATGATCCCACTTGGTGCAAGTGTTTCCCAGCGACTCTCAAAGGAATCGCACAACAATGGTTCGGCAACCTGCCGACTGGTTGTGTAAATAACTTCAAGACGCTTGCTTACTTATTCACCTCCAACTTCGCCATGAACATCCCTGCGAAGAAGACGACCCTTGATTTAGGAACAATTCAGCAGGGCGAGAAGGAGGGGCTTCGTTCTTACATCAGACGATTTAACCTGATGAGAATACAGATTCAAGGGTTACCGGATGAAGTAGCCTATACTGACTTTTTCAGAGGTCTCAAAGACGGGTCGACCTTCAAATTTGATTTGGTCCGAAAGAGGGTGGCGACTCTTCAAGAGGCCTTGATTGAAGCGGAAGCCTATATACAGGCGACTGATCTTTGTAGTACGGTAAAACAGTCAGACGGGAAAAGGTCCGACAAAAGAGAAGGACGACAGAAGCAGTCGTCAAACAAAGACGAGAAGAGAAAAGAGGTCTGGGCAACTGATTCCTCTAAACAGCCGTCCCAGAAGAAGAAAAAAGAATTCAAACCATACTCCCCAATGTATGTGTTTAACAAGGATAGCCAGTTTATCCTAAAGGAAATCAAGGGACGGATCTCAATTGAGAAGCCGGTCCCCATGAAGGGTTCTGCAAACAATCGGAACCAAGAAAAATTCTGTGATTATCATGAAGATGTTGGTCATCACACCAATGAATGCATCAGTCTCATGCGGTATCTGGACCGCCTGGCTGAGCAAGGTGACCTTGACACTTATGTCAAGAAATCTACGGGGAACACTTCCTTGAAAAAGCAGTCGACCAAAAAGAATCAACAGGCCGACAGCTCCGATACAGATGATGCAGTCGTCTACACCATTGCAGGCGGCTTCTCAGGAGGCGGCCCCACTATTAGGGGCAACAAAGACAATATCAGACGGTTAGATGTAAATTCCGTTCACCAAGAACGGCCCTCCAAATATTCATTTCCTGAGATTGTCATCATTGAAGAAGATCTAGGAGGGGTAAGAGGGCCGCATGACGACCCTATCGTTATTGAATGTAAAGTGGCCAACCAGAGAGTTCACCGAATCCTCATAGATACCGGAAGCTCCTCAGATCTCATCAGTAGCAAATGTCTGTCGAAACTAAAATATCAGAGTGATTGCATACATCCGGCATCCCACCCTTTTGTAGGGTTTGGAGGAGGAGGAGTCCACCTAGTGGGACGAGTGGATTTACCCATCCGCCTGGGCGAAAAAGGGGAAGGACGACACATGGTAGTCCGGTTCCTGGTAGTAGAAGAACTCTCGGCCTACAACATGATTCTGGGACGACCAACCCTGAATAATTCCAAGGCTGTTATAATCCCATCTCTTATGTTGCTCAAGTTTGAGAGGGATAATGGAACAGTCGGGTCCCTAAGGGGAGATCAGAGGATGGCCCGAGAGTGCTATCTCTCGGATGTCAAGCCCACTGTTATGGCGACTGGGTCGAGCGGTGGAAAAATAGACCTTGACAATGTCAAGGAGAGTGCGCCTGTTCAAGAAGCAGGCGGCAAGAAAAGAAAGGCATCCCAGACAGGGGCCGCAAGAAAAGACAGAAAATAGCAATCATTGGCAGAGGAGCGGTCGGATGAATTCCGCCCTCAGCCAGCTGGTGAGCATACGGACCTGATCTTAGATGACTCGCGTCCTGACAGAACAATCAAGGTTGGGACGACTGCTCTAAGGGACCTGGGTGACGACTTGCACAAACTATTGAAAGAATACAAGGACATCTTTGCATTCGAAGTCCATGAAATGCCAGGCATTAGTCCTGATCTGGCGGTACATAAACTGGTCGTGGATCCGAAAAAGAAGCCGGTACGGCAGAAGAAGCGGAACCATGGCGAAGAAAGAAGTCAGGCGGCAGCCGCCGAAGTTAAAAAATTACTTGATGCAGGGTTCATTCGGCAATGTTACTTCCCAGACTAGGTTGCAAATGTGGTGCTTGTTAAAAAGCCGAATGGCACCTGGCGAATGTGTGTAGACTACACAGACTTAAACAAGGCGTGCCCCAAAGAGAGTTA